TGAATGGTTGTCCAGAGCAATTGGTATTAATTGTTGGCTTGGAAAAACACTGTAAGGATAATGCAGTACCATTCATTGACAACTGGGACAACTTCTATGGCCGAAATGACATGTATGCCAGGGATGGGGTTCACTTATCCAGGGCAGGTGTGGGTTTTCTTGCTAACTCAGTTGAGGGGGTTGTTAGGACTTTAAACTAGGATTAGTTAGAGGTATGGGTTTAGAAAGAATAATAAGAGTATGGATATATTGACTTATGCTCTGATATTAAGAATCTTAATAGTAACTGTCATGGAGTAACTCTGGGTAATGATAATTTCAGAAATTGTGTAAAAACAAGAGGGAAAAGGAAAAATGTGCAGAAGAAAAAACATATGATGGTATTTTATGCTAAAAAGTAGAATGCAAGAAATAAAATTTAAAGAACTACGTTTTGGGACATGTGCTGGGAACTTTGATATCATTGCATTAACTGAAACGTGGTATGATTTAAAGAGTCGGGATATGACTGCCCGAGTGCAATATTCAGGGATTTAAGTTATTCAATGTGGATAGATGTAATGGAAGGGGGGAGGAGTTGCATTTTAATGTTCGAGAAAAATTAATTGTTGCATAAAAAAAAGGTATAAAAATAGATGGAGCAGTAACAAGTCTGTTGGGTAGAGTTCGTGGAGGGTCAGAAAAACTAATTCTAAAGGGGTAATTACCGACCTCCAGGGTTGGATCACGATAGAGGGGACTTCTTTGGGACGAAATTGTTTTGGGCTTCTGGACACAGTAACGTAGTCATAGTAGGGGGATTTTAACTTTAGCCAAATTTGACTGGAATTCTTTGACAGGTAATCTAGAGTCCCCGTGACTTCATGGAAACAGTTCAGGACTGTTTTTCTGAAACAGAGTGTAACTGAACCTACCCCGGGGTAATAATTTGCTAGACCTAGTCTTGTCACATAAGGAAACACTAGTGAATAATCTGGAGATCACTGAAGAGCTTGGCGCAAGTGATCACAAATCCATCACCTTTAAACATAATTGGGAATGCAAGAATAATGAATAATAAAAGTAAAAATCCCCGATTTTCGTTCTGCCGATTATAATGGACTTAGGGGAAAATCTGTCTAATCTTGATTGGGGTTATCTAGCTAATGATTTTTTTGACGATAATCCCTACTTATGAAAATGAAGGGATCTGCTTTTTTGATTGTTTTCTTAATAATGTACACAGTGCCCAGAGTATATACATTCCCCAGAGAGAAATTAGGTCTAATAATAACGATCCCAAATGGGTTAACAGAGGTTAAAGCATCTATTAGGGGGGAAAAGGGGATTTAATAGGGGCATCAGAAGAGGAGAGGTTAACCTTACTGACCAATATGTTCAGCTTAAAAGAAAATAAAAAAGCGATTAGAAAGGCTAAACGTGACTATGAAATTAGAGTCGCTAATGAATCAAAGACTAATCCAAAGGGTTCTTTCAAGTGTATAGGACGAAGGTGAAGGAAAAAGTAGGGCCTCTGAAATCTGGGAATGGACAGCTGACGGATAATGAACTGGAAATGTGTTCCTTATTTAATGACTATTTTTTGTCAGTTTTTACACAGGAAGATGTAAATGAGATTCCAGTAATTAACAATTATTTAGTTCCTGATGAATTTAAGTTAACTAATATTACTGTCACGAGGGACATGGTTATTAAACAGATAGACAAACTGAAACAATAAGTCCCCGGGACCCGATGAGTTGTTTTCAAGGGTACTTAAGGAATGCAAGATGGAGCTTAGTCAGCCATTAACGAGTGTATTCAATGCGTCCATCCTTACCAGTGTTGTGCCAGAGATGTGGAAGATGGCTAATGTGGTTCCTATATTCAAATCAGGGGATAAGTCCACGCCTTCAAATTACCGTCCAATAAGCCTGACATCTGAACATTAAAATGGTATAAAATACCGACAGGTTGTTAGGTAAGACACATATGCAACAGTTAGGTATCTTTATTATGAAACGTTTCGCCTACACAGTAGGCTTCTTCAGTCAAGTACAGAAAAGTTGATAGAAGCAGAAGATACTTGAAGACGATGTAATCAGTCCATCACCCTTAAAGTTTTGAGGTGGTCAGTCCCTCAGTCTGGAGAAGAGCATTGTTCCATAGTATGAAACAATATTGTTTCATACTATGGAACAATGCTCTTCTCCAGACTGAGGGACTGACCACCTCAAAACTTTAAGGGTGATGGACTGATTACATCGTCTTCAAGTATCTTCTGCTTCTATCAACTTTTCTGTACTTGACTGAAGAAGCGTACTGTGTAGGCGAAACGTTTGATAATAAAGATACCTAACTGTTGCATATGTGTCTTACCTAACAAGCCTGACATCTATAGTGGGCAAGTTATTAGAATCAATTATAGCTGACATTATCAGAAGTCACCTTGAAGAGCATAACTTGATAAATGAATCTCAGCATGGATTCACGAGAGGTCGTTCCTGCCTGACAAACTTACTGACGTTCTTCAATAGAACATTTGAGGCAGTTGACAGTGATAAGGAATATGATATTGTTTATTTGGATTTTAGTAAAGCCTTCGACAGAGTACCTCACAAGAGACTCTTAAGAAAAGTGGCAGCTCATGGTATAGGAGGTAAAGTTCTAGCATGGATTGAGGCATGGCTTACCAATAGAAAGCAGAGAGTTACCATTAATGGAGTGAAATCTGAATGGGGATTAGTCACTAGTGGCGTTCCACAAGGATCAGTTTTAGGCCCTCTCTTGTTCATAATTTACATTAATGACCTTGATGAAGGGATTACTAGTGACATGAGTAAGTTTGCTGATGATACAAAGATAGGCCGTATAATTCACTCTGAGGAGGATATCAATGAACTCCAGGACGATTTGAACAAATTAATGTCTTGGTTTTGAGAAATGGCAGATGAAGTTTAATGTGGATAAGTGTAAGGTACTTGCCCTTGGTAATGAAAATAACCCTCGAAGCTATAATCTAGGTGAAGTAGAGCCTGATCATACAGAATGTGAAAAAAACTGGGAGTCATGGTAAGCAGAAATCTAAAGCCAAGACAGCAGTGCCTTAGTGTGCGCAACAAGGCCAACAGATTACTTGGATTTATCTCAAGAAGTATAAGTAACAGAAGTCCAAAAGTTATTTTACAGCTCTATACATCACTAGTGAGGCCTCATTTAGATTATGCTGCTCAGTTTTGGTCTCCTTACTACAGGATGGATATAGACTCATTAGAGAGCATACAGAGAAGAATGACTAAAATGATTTACTGTGTAAGGAACCTCCAGTATGAAGATAGACTTAAAGCCTTAAATCTCCACTCTCTGGAGAGGCGTAAAATGAGGGAGATATCATTGAAGTGTATAAGTGGATGACGGGCATAAACAAGGGAGACATTAATAAAGTACTCAGGGTGTCGAACCAGGTAAGAACCAGGAATAATGGATTTAAGTTGGATAAATTTAGATTTAGAAAGGACATAGGTAAGTACTGGTTTTCTAACAGAGTTGTAGATGCGTGGAACAGTCTTCCCAGTGGGGTGATAGAGGCTAGGACCTTGGGTAGCTTTAAGAAGAGACTGGACAAATATATGAGTGGGAGGGGCTGGGTTTGATTGGCGTCATTGGGTACGGGAGTTATTTCTTGGGTGGCTTTAGGTAGAGATCGTTTTGATAAGGACCTGCCTCATATGGGCCAGTAGGCCTTCTGCAGTGTGTTGTTAGGTAAGACACATATGCAACAGTTAGGTATCTTTATTTCGAAACGTTTCGCCTACACAGTAGGCTTCTTCAGTCAAGTACAGAAAAGTTGATAGAAGCAGAAGATACTTGAAGACGATGTAATCAGTCCATCACCCTTAAAGTTTTGAGGTGGTCAGTCCCTCAGTCTGGAGAAGAGCATTGTTCCAGACTGAGGGACTGACCACCTCAAAACTTTAAGGGTGATGGACTGATTACATCGTCTTCAAGTATCTTCTGCTTCTATCAACTTTTCTGTACTTGACTGAAGAAGCCTACTGTGTAGGCGAAACGTTTCATAATAAAGATACCTAACTGTTGCATGTGTGTCTTACCTAACAACCTGTCGGTATTTTATACCATTTTAATGTTCTTCTGCAGTGTTCCTACATTCTTATGTTCTAATCAGTCCCTCAGCCTTCGAGGTGGTGTTTATAGCACCGTGGTTGTAGAGATTCTGAAGCTCAGGTAAGGAGACTGGCGCTTATATAGGCGTCAGTGAATAGGCACGTGTAGCAGACGAAGACAGTCATTGACGATGAAGCCACTGTGTGGCGAAACGTTTCCTCAATAAAGATACCCAAGAGTTGAACATGTGTCTAATTTATCAACGTGTCGTTTCTCTGAACCATTCATCTACAATCCTGTCAGACACTGCAACTTCTTGGTCAACTTCTTGGGATTTAATTACTTGGGGAAGGGTTAAAGATAGGGATTTTGGGTACAAAATTTATAGGGAGTGGGAGTAGGTTTTGGGTTCTGTATTGGGGGGTGCATTAAAAAAAATTACGGGAGATTTCTTGGTAAAAAGATTATGCAACGTGGGTTTCTTCTTTTGAAAGGATTTCGCATGCCAGTGGGCCCTTCTTCAGTGAGTACCAAAAGTTGTTGAATGCATAGATATAAGAGTGTAATCAAGTTGATCTTAAATTAAAGTGGTATAAATACCGACAGTCTGTAGAAGACATTGCACGTTGTTCAGAAACGCGCAACAATGGCTCTCTCCAGACGAGGATGACAAAAGTTTGACAGAGATTTAAAGGACGATTAATCGCCCTTCATCCTTACTGTTTTTCAAGCTTTTCTGTCCCTCGCTGAGAAGACAGCCTTTTTCCGTAGGCGAAACGTTTCAAAATAAAGATACCTAACTGTCGCATGTGTGTCTTACCTAACAAGGTTGAGTTTAAGAAGGACCTTCCCAGCACCGGTCAGATGTCATTGTAGTGAGGCGGAGCCATATATATATAAGCTGCAACATTACACAGCTAAGGCGTTATAGGAGCCACGAGACGACATATTAGCTCTTCGCTACAGATAAGGGGAAGACATTATGGCGCAGAAAAAAGGCGGAGGTCGTAGGGAAATGAGATTATCGGTAAGTTTAAAGTATCTATCGTCAGTCAGTTTTATTTGTAGCCTATTGGATGTTTTCCCTTCATCCGAAATTACCTATATATATATATATTAAGGTTTATACTACAAGATATTTAAACTAGTTGCTGTTTTAAATCTCATTGTTAATCTCAGATATACAGTCCGATATATATTTTTGGATTCTTCAAATTCTTTTACATTATTATAATCATGGGGAAGAGCTAAACCTGTAGGGATTATACAGCGCCTGTGGGGGCGGGGGGATGGAAGGTATTCAGACTCAGTTCAGAGAACTGGAGCACATTAAATTCTCTTGATCAAGAGCCCCTCACCAGTGTCAAGGAACCTCCCCTGAGGTGATTATTGCACAGCTTGTCCTATTCTTTTCGCTGATGCTAGATTTTCAATCCTCAGAAATGTAATGGCGTCGATCGGGATTCGACGAACAAGGCAAGGTGTACAAAGCATGTCAAGAGACCATCAGTGTGTGACAGGAGGCGAAGTAACAGCAACAGAGACTTCCATGACCACCTCCGTGGTACTAGGAACTCCAATGGTGGCAGAGGCGGCAGATTTTTGCCAGGCAGGCTCAAAGACTCCCGTGGTGGCAGAGTGCAGAAGGCTACTGTAGATGGCTCGGCAGATACTACAAGGATGAAGAGTTCAACGTTTGTCAAGAGATTATCGCAAAGTTCTGGAGGCAGAGGGAACAGAAGAGGCTCCCGAGTTTTCAGAGCTCATGGTGCCAGAACTGTTTATACTGTTTTGGAACTCGATGCTGAGCTTGCTGCTTTTGTAGATCAGGTAACTCTTATTTTTTTTTTTTTGTCTCGTGGATTAGTAAAGTCATTTGGTTAATTATAAATGTGTAACACTTTGGTATCATGTGTCTAATTTATCATCATTTCTCTACCTGGAGTTTACCTGGAGAGAGTTCCGGGGGTCAAAGCCCCCGCGGCCCGGTCTGTGACCAGGCCTCCTGGTGGATTAGAGCCTGATCAACCAGGCTGTTGCTGCTGGCTGCACGCAAACCAACGTACGAGCCACAGCCCGGCTGATCAGGAACTGTCTTTAGGTGCTTGTCCAGTGCCAGCTTGAAGACTGCCAGGGGTCTGTTGGTAATCCCCCTTATGTATGCTGGGAGGCAGTTGAACAGTCTCGGGCCCCTGACACTTATTGTATGGTCTTTAACGTGCTAGTGACACCCCTGCTTTTCATTGGGGGGATGGTACATCGTCTGCCAAGTCTTTTGCTTTCATAGTGAGTGATTTTCGTGTGCAAGTTCGGTACTAGTCCCTCTAGGATTTTCCAGGTGTATATAATCATGTATCTCTCCCTCCTGCGTTCCAGGGAATACAGGTTTAGGAACCTCAAACACTCCCAGTAATTGAGGTGTTTTATCTCCGTTATGCGCGCCGTGAAAGTTCTCTGTACATTTTCTAGGTCGGCAATTTCACCTGCCTTGAAAGGTGCTGTTAGTGTGCAGCAATATTCCAGCCTAGATAGAACAAGTGACCTGAAGAGTGTCATCATGGGCTTGGCCTCTCTGAACCATATATCTACATAATCACTTAAATTTCCAGACTACGTAGCCCATTCTTGCTAGGAAATAAATTAAAGGCTAATTCTCACATTGAAATCATTCCCCAGGAATGTAATGGTGTTACTCTCGCTGGTGATTCAGAAGACATGGAATGTACGGAGCTTCCCCAGAGATCTTCACCTCCACGAAAACCTATTTCAGGTGATTTGGGCAAGTCATTTTCTCTTTTAAAATTTTCTGCAGTTGAATATAGTTCGGCTTGATGAAACGCCTGATAATTATCGATCTTGAATAACTTTTTGATATAATGACTGATGTAATCGTATGCTTCCATAGGTATCAGGGGCAATGGCGGGTCCAGAGGCTCCCGTGGTAGCAGTACCAGAGGAAGAGGTTTGCATGACAGCCTCAACACCCCTGAAGGCTCCTCTGGTGGCAGGTCCAGAGACTCCCGTCGCAGTAGCAGAGGAAGAAATTTACAAAACCTCAAAGACGCTAGAGGCTCCAACGGGGACGTCAGGAGCAGCAGAGGTCCACCAAGGCTGGTAGCTGCTCCCAATATCGCAGTGAAAAGCGCAACAATTGTTCTCGAGAAATTATCAGTAATTCCCGGAGGAGAAAATTCGGAGCTCAAGAAATCGTCACAAGGTTCTAGTGTAAGGGGCAGAGGGGCCAGAAAAGGCTCTAAATGTGGCAGAATTTTTAGGGCACATGAACCTGGAGGGGCGACCTACACTGTTAAAGAACTGAATTCAGAACTTGCTGCTTTTGTTAGCTTGTTTTCTAACTAAATTAGTGGCTTAAACTTGGTATTATTCTACACATATAATACCAGAACTGTAAATGATGGTTTTTGTACAGTTTTTGTCTACATGTCTGTTCAAACCCGTCCAGAAAATGTCATTGTGGAATAGGTTTCGCTTTTAATTATTAAAAATAAGAATTTATAGTTTTGTAAGCCGAAAAAAGTTTGATGCAACACACACAAGAGCAAAGTGCTCCAATAATATTTAAATTAAAGAATTAAAGCAACTAATGTTTTATTTATATATTTTTTTAGCTGTAACACCTAACACCTCATCAGCTGATTTTTATTTACGTCTCCGAATGCGGCAGATGGTGAGCTGACAGTAACATAATTGACAAAATTCCACTACAGTAGGCCTAGGGGTAAATATTAGATTGATCCTATACTCTCATTGTGTTGTATATTTGTCTGTTATTACAATAATGGTATAAAATAACAAGATAAGGCATTAAAACACCTGCGACACGTCTTTATTTTTCTTGTCTTGTAATAACTCAGTATTGTGTATTTTTTTAATGTTTTTTTTCAAAAGCGCTAAACCCTCTGGGGGGGCTATACAGCAATGTGCAGTATAAGCAGTGAACAAAATCTTACATCGTAAACTTTTTTTTCTCTGAAAACGAAGCATTAATGGGAATACCATTGGATAACACCCCTGGTGTGGGGCTCTTGATCTAGGGGATTGGATCTGTGCTCTCAAGCGTTGCCCATGGAATATGTGCTCCAGTTCCCTGAATTGACCCTGAATAACTTCCATCCCCTCCCTCACATGTGCTGTATAATCCTACGGGTTTAGAGCTCCATGATATAATCCTAAGGGTCACACACTGTCTTAGGAATGAAGGGCAATGAGGCTCGACAAGGAAGAGGACGAGTTTAGAAAATCTTACTTGTTTCATGGTTTCATTGCTATATAAAATTCTTGCGGAGGCTGGTATTCAAACGGGAGGTGGTTTTCGGATCATGAACAACACCTAGCTCTGCTGGGTGCATGATCTATGAAGGATAACTGGTTAAGGCGACGTGAACGTTGTTCTGTCTCTTGCAGGAGTGTATGGGTCAGTAGACTTCCTCCAGTGTTCCTCAGCTCTTGTTCTTGAATTATATAGTTGATTTAAGTTCAACCAGTTAAATCCCAAAGCGCTATTAAAATATCTTAATTTTAGAGATAACTGGACTAGAATTTATTCTGACAAACTATTACAAAACCAGAAGCTGTATAGCCCTTGCAGCTTAGCGCTTCTTCATGGATATCACATTTTGTAACAAGTGGTGACTCTACCAGTGTCCCGTGGCCTGGTAGGCAACGCTCTCGCTTCACACACTGTCCATGATACGATCCCCGGCAAGGGTGGATTATTATTATTATAATCAAGGGAAAGCGACTAAACCGGAGATTTACAGCGCCTGGGGGGGGGATGTGGAAGGCATTCAGGCTTAATTCGGGGAACTGGAGCACAGATCCAATTCCCTAAATCAAGAGCCCCTCACCAACATCAAGGAACCTTCCTTGAGGGGGCAAGGGTGGAAATACAGGGCGTTTTTCCTTACACCTGTCCCCGTTCACCTACCAAGCAAGTAAGTACCTTGGTATCAATCGACTGATGTGAATCTCATCCTGGGGGACAAGATTGAGGACCACAATGGAAATGAGTTATCCTAGGTGGCTAACCTTCCGGGGTTAATAATTCGAACGAAATTTCATCTCTATGAATACAAGCCCTTGTGGTTGAGCGCTTTTTTGATTATAATAATCTGAGTACAGGTTCTCAAAGTTTATTTAGGTACAGGCACACAAGTACAGTTGCGATTAATTATTATTATATTATAATCAAAAAGAAGCGCTAAGCCAAAAGGGCTATACAGCACAGTTGCGATTAAAATTATCATACATAGTAATATGTGTAAATTACCTTGGATAATCCCCCCAAAAAGTCAAGACTATTTCCATTATGTGTAATCTATACACATGCTATCTGTGATAAATTATGTAACTATGTACCTGAATAATTATAATCATGGGGAGCGCTAAACCCGTAGGATTATACAGCGCCTGTGGGGGGATGGAAGGTATTCAGGGAACTGGAGCACAGATCCACTTCCCTAGATCAAGAACCCCTCACCAGTATCGAAGGTATTCAGGGGCTGGAGCACAGATCCAATTCCTAGATCAGAGCCCTCACCAGCATCAGGGAACCTTTGATTATATATATAAAAGAAGCGTAGTCCACAAGGCTATACAGCACAGAACCTCCTTGAGAATTGCAGCTGTTCTTCATGGGGAAAACACTAATAATCAATCGTTTAGACCTTGTAGATTAGGACATTGAGCCAACCAGTCTGTCATAATAAAAGGAGTATCCATTCCATTCTTATATCAGACCGCTGTGCTTAGCACTTTCGATTATATAATAATCAGACGCTGCTGGGCACACAAAATTGTTAGCTCGAGTGACCAGGGAGAGGAAATTGAATCTTTCATTTTAACCACCAAACCCACAGTTCACACAGCTGTGAGTATGGCATGCATTGTTATTCTTTTACTTCTCCTGGTTATAACTTATGGGAAGGGCATAGGGGGGAGGGGGGGTGAAAAACCAGTCAGGGTCACCAAGCTCCTGAGGGAAGGGAGCAAACAGCTTATTAAAAATTTATTAAAGGATAGAAACAAAATATAAATCATAGTTTTATTCACAAAAAATTGTTTTTAGGTGCTTTTGGCATTGGACAGTTGTACTTTATAAACTTAATTTTCGGCCAAGCCTTCTAGTATTCAAATGCATTCAATCACACTACTTCCATTCCAACTTAAAAATAATGTGCTGCAAGTTCAAAAATACTCGTTACAAAAAAGGTCAAATAGAAAAACTAAATAATGCCAACGTCCAAGAAAATAGTTTAGAAATCTTGTATTGTTTAAAGTTATAGAACCAGACACTGTAACACTGTAAATGATGCATGCAGACAGCACTAGTCCAGTCTGATCTTGCACGTCCACGTCAGTTCGCTCCTTAGTCACCACACATCCCATCGCCATTTATCTGTTGTGGAAGAAATTAAAATTAAAAATTTGAAAAATTAATTATCAGTGACTGACCTTAATTGCCTTTGTCATGCAATGACATGTCAAGTCAATTTTGTACAATATATAAACAAGCTCCCTACTTACTGTACTGCAAACAAGAAATTCACAAGATATATAAAAGAACAAGACACAGGATACTTGGGTGGTGGCAGGCAGGGAGGTGGGATCGGCGAGACAGTTGGGACGATTGCCTGTAGCCGCCACACCACACTAGTCTCCGCACAACCGTCGAAGGGGTTATGGAGGGCCCTGGGTCACCTCGTTTACCACACACGACACGTTTCACCCCATATCATCAACCCAAAGTTGCTTGTAGAAAACCATTATCCAAAATTTTGGTGTAAAGGATATTCTCCAACCAAAAACTTTGCTTCAAGTCACAGCCAAGATTATTCTTTTTATGGCACTCAATCACAAGGTTTAGCAGCTCACTACTTTCTCAGTCAGCATTTTAATACATTAACAAATCACAGTCATGGGGCAACTGGCTTTCACGTTATCAACATACTCAAAGAAAAATTATCACAAATGAATTTAAAGCATCTTATAGGAAGTTGCAAAAACTAAATTACTATTCAGTCCAAATTCCCTTGTCCAAGATGAACAATCCTTATCAGATTATTAACCCTACATGCAATGCAATTAAATTGTGCCCATAAATTTTCTATGAATCATATCTTCAGACATTTTGCTAGTCTGTTTTAACTATTAGTGTTTTAGCCATTTTCAGTTTCCCAAATGCTGGATCTCTTGCTTAAGTCTTCGTCTTGGCATTTCATTGGCGTCTTGCAGATGTATATTCCACAAACTTCTTTTTATCTTCTTTCTTCAAGTATAAACTTTGACTGGATGACACAGTCATCTTGCTTTTGTCTACAGTAGTTCATTCAATTCCACTCTTTAATGTGGTTAACTAGCTTCGCCATAAGCAACACTTCATATACAAAATGGATTCATCAACGAAATCTCAATTAACAACTATTTCGCACAACTCGCATCAAAAATATTTACAAATTTACATCACTTTAATATGTGCCAATTTCCATAAACTGTCAAGGAGTCTGACTAAATTGTTACAACAATAGAGCATATTCATCACTTAAAACTGCCAATTTTTCATTAAACAAGCAAACTATAACAATTTCCCATGGACAAGGGATAATGCACTAAAAAACCACCCATCCCAACATATTCCCACAAACGCTGGGCCCAATCCTTAGGTCCGCACTGCCAGACCCAGCACCACCGCTGCTATCACTGAGGCAGACAAGTCGCAGCAGCAGGCAGTCAGCGCCGCCACACTAGTACCCAGATGCTGATGATGGAAGGCCTCCACTCCTGGCCACCAATTACCTCACTTGTTGACCTGCTTGACATAGGCGTCAAGCTCAGCATCCAATTCCTCAGCAGTAGGCACCTTCGTCCTGGCCCCCCGCCCTCCAAACCCTCTGCCACGGCCACCACCACGGGCACCTCGGGTCCCTCTGGTCCCTCTGGTGCTGCCACGCAGACCTCGGCCACCACCACGACCACCTAAAGAATGAAGATTAGTTAACTAGTCTATGCTACTGCAATAGAGAACACAATTATATTGTACATATAATCTCAAAATTACCTCTGCTTTCCCAGATGAATATGAACATTATTTTAATTAACTTACCAAAACCACTTGAAATAGGTCTTGGTCCTTGTGACAATCTCTTGACAGGCGCTGAATTTCTCATCCCCCCACCAACAGATGCACCATCCATTGTAATGTTCATTGGTCGACCATCAAGATGTACACCATTGTATTGTTTGAGAGCTTTAATAGCATCTGCTTGCCGATCAAATACAACATGGGCAGTACCTAACGATCTTCCTGAGCGATCATAGTGAACTGCTGCATTCCTCGTTACTCCAAATTCAGCAAACAACTCCTGAAAAAGAAAAAAGAATATGGAAAAGGCATATATACATGCTATATTACAATACCTATCTAAGCTAAGCTAAGTGACAGTCAATTTATATGTAGAGTGCTTTAATAAAAAAAAATGTAATTTATCAATGGTATGCAGTGCCTACACCCACCCTATACAAGGTTTAAATAAACATTATCAAAGCATTAGAAAGGGAACAGTAAGGCAAGTGAAATTTATTGTTTGTAAATGAACTGAAATCCTAAATGTCTTCATAATTATACGAGTGATAGGTAATATACCCTAAATATTCAAAGGACAATTTCCTTTTTTAATAATTAGCACAAGAATTACTAGCTGCCCACTCTGGCATTTTAATAATTCTCTACAAGACAAATAGTTTACTGAGGAAGTATTATTATCCACCTTCCACTTGGGATCTAAATAATAATAAAATCAAATTTAGACCCAAAAGGGGTCACACAGCTATGGAATTTAACCCTTTGAGGGTCGACAGGCCCTCTCCGAAACTCGTTCTCAGGGTCGGCCAAATTTAAAAAAAAAAAAATTTATTTTATCTTATGAAAAGATAGAGAATCTTTTCCCGATCATAAAGACACCAAAAGTTTGAAATTTGATAGAAAACTTACGGAATTATGCTCTCGCAAAGTTAGTGGTCTCGGCGATGTTTACACATCGGCGATTTTGCCCACTTTGAGCCCCATTTTCGGCCAATTTCGCTGTACTAGTCGACAAAAAACATGAATATTTCGCTAGAACTCCATTTTTTCTATCGAATGGGTGCAAGAAACCACCCATTTATGAAATTCAACTATCCAGTACAGTGGTCAGAATTTAGCAATTTTGCCAATTTCACACAAATTTCAAAAGATGCCAAATTCCGAATAGGGTCCAGAATAAACAAGAAAGACATTCCTGGCACTAAAATGACATTTCCTCTAGTCATTAGTCACGTCTCAAGGTCCCTCTTATATTCTTTTGCTTTCCATTTTGAATTTTTATTCTCACAAAAAATATAAGATTTACTGTTATGCAGACTACTGCATTAGTGTAAAAAATGGTATAAATATTATTGGTGCACTTGTGAAAGAATATTAGACTCACCAGTTGACGTGTATTGCACGCTTGGCACGATTTGTTTGCTTTTGAAGTTTGGTAAAAATCGAACATTTCTGCTACTTTGAGCTCAATTTCAAGGCACCTTTCATTGTAAAACCAGCCAAAATTATCTCAATTTCTGTAATATGTCTTCCATTCTATAAAATGAGACCAAGAAAACTAGAATACAACAATAAATACCATACGAAAATACACTGCAAAGTCGCTGATTTATTCCAAAAAAATGGTCAAAGTTTTTTTTTTCTCATTATGCACTGTGTGCTGCAGGATTTTTTTTAGACTGCACACTGACCACATAGACCCATTCTTTCATATGAAGGCCTACCAGCTTTCTCCCACTAGATTTGAGGCCGCTAGAATTTATGCGTACTAGTACGTCAAAAACCCCTACGCGTAAGACGTACTAGTACGACGAAAACCCTCAAAGGGTTAAAGGAAACACAAAATCAAGAACAAGATACTGAAAGGAAACCCACAGCAGTATACCTACACACACATGGTACATGCATAGTGTATACTAGGTGTAAGTAATAGTAGCAACAGCAGCAGTAATACAAGATGTACCTGTTATCTTGCATGTTTACACAACAAAATTGAGACAATTCTCTTCACATTCATGTGCATTATCTCTACTAAGTGGAGATAATGCATCTGATACAAGTGGGACATGCCACAGTTGCTCTTAGCCAATGACAGTTCTTTAGGGAGATTCAGCAGTGAAGTTGCAAAGGATCTTAAGAGTACGAGAAGGTACGAAGAAAAGGAAATCAGAAGTAAACCTACAAAAAGAAGGGGATAAGAGTATAGGTAATGAAAGACTGAAGAACAAAAAGGCACAATACTGTGACTGGAACAATACACAAATAACCTGCACACTGGAGAGAAGCAGCTTACGATGACATTTCCGTCAGACTTGGCCCATTTACAAAGTTACACTAACTTTGTAAATGGTCCAAGTCGGATGGGAATAATGTCATAAGCTTCTCTCTATGCACAGGTTTTTGTACAATAAAAGCCTGAATATCAAATTGGAGAAAGAAAAGTATTCAGATATTTGGAGGGGATATGTTGGCAAATGGGTTTATGAAAAAGGAAATGAACCACAGAATAGGCTATGGGACAAAAAATAAAGTATACAGCTGTAGAACGTAAAAAGATTTATCTATGGAGACAAAAAAGGAAAACCAGATAGTGGTACCAACAGTACCATACAACAGGACACACACCAGTATGACCTTTAAACCTTGCAGTGATATGGTTGGAAGCTGTGATGTTTGAGAGCAGTGTGGTGAGAATACTAGGAGCTTGGAGATTAGAACTGCGAGGTAAGCAAAAAAACTAATTCAGAGGGTGGTGGAGGAGGGGTTGTTTAGGCATTTAGTGAGGACAGCATAGGGTAATTAAGAAAGACTGGAGGAAGGGGGTAAGTGCTTTTCATAACTGACATGCTGTTGGAGTGTCAGCAATATGGCATTTATGAAGGGATTCTGGAACACCAATAAGTAAGGTGGGAAGTACAGTGCCTACACTCTAAAGGAGGGATGAGGATGCTGCAGTTCAGAGGATCCACACCATGCAAGAATGAATTTCTTTAGGACATCAATAATATAATAGTAAGAATCCCACAAATAATCCAACAGCCAACATTTTAACTATGCAATACCAAAACAACATATGTGAAAGTGAGCACAACATTTATGTTGCAATACAGGCCACAATTTTAATAAACAAGTCAATTTATTAGCAATAAATCATTTACACATCTTTCAATATTACTCACATGAATATCCGAGTCTGAGACACCAAAATCCAGGTTAGAGATAAGTAGTTTTGCTGGTCCACTCAACTGCTGAGTGCGAATTCCTCCTTGATACATATCATGGCTCCATCTTCCATCTACATTGCCCTGCAAGTATTGTAAATCTGGTCACAAACTGTTATAAAAATCATTTAAGATTTTTTTTATTAACACACTGGCCGATTCCCACCAAGGCAGGGTGGCCCGAAAAAGAAAAACTTTCACCATCATTCACTCCATCACTGTCTTGCCAGAAGGGTGCTTTACACTACAGTTTTTAAACTGCAACATTAACACCCCTCCTTCAGAGTGCAGGCACTGTACTTCCCATCTCCAGGACTCAAGTCCGGCCTGCCGGTTTCCCTGAATCCCTTCATAAATGTTACTTTGCTCACTCCAACAGCACGTCAAGTATTAAAAACCATTCGTCTCCATTCACTCCTATCAAACACGCTCATGCATGCCCGCTGGAAGTCCAAGCCCCTCGCAAACAAAACCTCCTTTACCCCCTCCCTCCAACCTTTCCTAGGCCTGATACACTCTTGAAGTCATTCTGTTTCGCTCCATTCTCTCTACATGTCCGAACCACCTCAACAACCCTTCCTCAGCCCTCTGGACAACAGTTTTGGCAATCCCGCACCTCCTCCTCACTTCCAAACTACGAATTCTCTGCATTATATTCACACCACACACTGCCCTCAGACAAGACATCTCTACTGCCTCCAGCCTTCTCCTCGCTGCAACATTCATCACTCATGCTTCACACCCATATAAGAGCGTTGGTAAAACTATACTCTCATACATTCCCCTCTTTGCCTCCAAGGACAAAGTTCTTTGTCTCCACAGACTCCTAAGTGCACCACTCACCCTTTTCCCCTCATCAATTCTATGATTCACCTCATCTTTCACAGACCCATCTGCTGACCCATCCACTCCCAAATATCTGAATACATTCACCTCCTCCATACTCTCTCCCTCCAATCTGATATCCAATCTTTCATCACCTAATCTTTTTGTTATCCTCATAACCTTACTCTTTCCTGTATTCGCATACCCTACCAAATTCATCCACCAGCCTCTGCAACTTCTCTTCAGAATCTCCCAAGAGCACAGTGTCATCAGCAAAGAGCAACTGTGACAACTCCCATTTTATGTGTGATTCTTTAACTTTTAACTCCATGCCTCTTGCCAAGGCCCTTGCATTTACTTCTCTCACAACCCCATCTATAAATATACTAAACAACCACGGTGACATCACACATCCTTGTCTAAGGCCTACTTTTACTGGGAAATAATCTCCCTCTTTCCTACATACTCTAACTTGAGCCTCACTATCCTCGTAAAAACTCTTCACTACTTTCAGTAACCTACCTCCTACACCATACACCTGCAACATCTGCCACATTGCCCCCCTATCCACCCTGTTCATACGCCTTTTCCAAATCCATAAATGCCACAAAGACCTCTTTAGCCTTATCTAAATACTGTTCACTTATATGTTTCACTGTAAACACCTGGTCCACACACACCCCTACCTTTCCTAAAGCCTCCTTGTTCATCTGCTATCCTATTCTCGGTCTTACTCTTAATTCTTTCAATATTAACTACCATACACTTTACCAGGTATACTCAACAGACTTATCCCCCTATAATTTTTGCACTCTCTTTTGTCCCCTTTGCCGCGGGGGCGTTGACCCCCGAAACTCTCTCCAGGTAAACTCCAGGTATGCTCTCTGCCAATCCCTAGGTACCTTACCCTCTTCCATACATTTATTAAATAATAGCACCAACCACTCCAAAACTATATCCCCACCTGCTTTTAACATTTCTATCTTTATCCCATCAATCCCAGCTGCCTTACCCCATTTCATTTTACCTACTGCCTCACGAACTTCCCCCACACTCACAACTGGCTCTTCCTCACTCCTACAAGATGTTATTCCTCCTTGCCCTATACACGAAATCACAGCTTCCCTATCTTCAACAACATTTAACAATTCCTCAAAATATTCCTTCCATCTTCCCAATACCTCTAACTCTCCATTAAGATATACCTGGTAAAATAATCTCATGACAAGTCCATTTATGATACAGCTGTAACACACATACAACTCAACTTCAGTAATACTGTACTTATGAAATTCACTACCCCCCCACAAATGCTTAAGAGTACTGACTAACATTGTAGGGTAAACTATAGTAATTTTTACCTAGTAGACTATTAAAAATAGTGGCAAACTTAAAGGTGCCTTAACACATCCCCATTTTCTATTCTCCCCCTCCCCCCCATTTCCCATTTTTCAATTCACACAATGTAATTTTAAATTAAGCACCAATTATCAGAAATATAACCCACAATTTAATGTAAAATTTACTATATAAATATTAGTATTCAGTGGAGTGGAGATGTCATGTCTGAGGGCAATGTGTGGTGTGAATATAATGCAGAGAATTCGTAGTTTGGAAGTTAGGAGGAGGTGCGGGATTACCAAAACTGTTGTCCAGAGGGCTGAGGAAGGGTTGTTGAGGTGGTTCGGACATGTAGAGAGAATGGAGCGAAACAGAATGACTTCAAGAGTGTATCAGTCTGTAGTGGAAGGAAGGCGGGGTAGGGTCGGCCTAGGAAGGGTTGGAGGGAGGGGGTTAAAGGAGGTTTTGTGTGCGAGGGGCTTGGACTTCCAGCAGGCATGCGTGAGCGTGTTTGATAGGAGTGAATGGAGACAAATGGTTTTTAATACTTGACGTGCTGTTGGAGTGTGAGCAAAGTAACATTTATGAAGGGATTCAGGGAAACCGGCAGGCCGGACTTGAGTCCTGGAGATGGGAAGTACAGTGCCTGCACTCTGAAGGAGGGGTGTTAATGTTGCAGTTTAAAAACTGTAGTGTAAAGCACCCTTCTGGCAAGACAGTGATGGAGTGAATGATGGTGAAAGTTTTTCTTTTTCGGGCCACCCTGCCTTGGTGGGAATCGGCCGGTGTGATAATAAAAAAAAAAAAAAAAATATTAGTATTCACAGCATGAGTAAGATTAAACATTTAAAACCGTGAATAAATAACAACCATTAACCAAACATTACTGTTCTGGAAATGTTTTTGTAGCATAATTGATAAAAACAAGCACTAAGAAATATTTCAGAAACATCAACAGCAAGGGATTAATAATAAATACACTGATATTAATAAACCACTATATTAATACAGAGATAACTTGTACACCAATATACTGTATAATGGTACAGTAATTAAGACTGATATGTTTACTGTGAATAATATTGTAGAATAAAAATGTTTATAATAAAAACATAAGCGGTATTTAAAATTTAAAGATGCACACATGGGTAGGCAATGTCAGCTGTGGTCTGGCCTCAACATTTACATCTGATTACTTTTGCACATGGAAACTGACAATGTTCTGCTCGTGCAGTGGACTTCATTAAGTCGCTGCATGGGCAAAATGTGTCAATAAAGGTCCACATTACTGCATTTCTCTTGTACCATAACAGAACACCACTCCATTGGGCCTACTGGCTCATTCTAAGCAAGTCCTATTTGCCCAACCACTCATTTCAGTAATGCTACTCATTATTTCCATTGCGTGCAAGTTTCCACTCCATCCAAAACTATTGCCTAACAAGAGTTTTCCTATATCCTTTCCATATCTGAATTAATCTGTCATGGTTAGTCTCATTCCCACAAATGAAGATTTCTCCCATAAATAGAATAAAAAATAAGTCACACTGGTAGCTAGCAATAATTCAAGGATAATCCAAAGGCAAACAGCACGACTGGGTGCCAAATGCACTGCCGATTTGTGAAAATTGGTGGTTAACGCTCTCGCTTCACACGGTGAGGGCCTGGGTTCGATTCCCAGCCAGAGTAGAAACATTGGACGTGTTTCTTTCCACCTGTTGTCTATGTTCCCCATAAGTAAAATGGGTACCTGGGTGTTAGTCGACTGGTGTGGGTCGCATCCTGGGACACTGACCTAAGGAGGCCTGGTCACAGACCGGGCCGCGGGGGCGTTGACCCCCGGAACTCTCTCCAGGTAAACTCCAGGTAATACCATTATTAATTATGCCCGATTATAATTAAAGCACTAAGCCCAAAGAAGTCATGCAAGTATGCTAAATGTGCTGCAGGTGTGGTACTGCAGCAGTTTAATGGCTCATTAAAATGTCTATATTATAAGGAAGCGCTAAAACTGTAGGGGTCGTGAAGCCCTGGAGAGTGGGAGGTTATCAGGTTTTAGATTCTTTTTAACTGCTACATTTACAATATATAAATTTAAGAATAAATCTATTGTAAGACATCTGTTAAATGTTCATCGCCGGGGAGGCCAGTCCGCAAGGGCCTCCGCAGGGGACGGCGTCCCCAGACGGTCTCGCAGGGGACGGCCCCACGTCCCGCAGGGGACGGCCCCACGTCCCGCAGGGGACGGCCCACGTCCCGCAGGGGACGGCCGCACGTCCCGCAGGGGACGGCCCACGTCCCGCAGGGGACGGCCGCACGTCCCGCAGGGGACGGCCCACGTCCCGCAGGGGACGGCCGCACGTCCCGCAGGGGACGGCCGCACGTCCCGCAGGGGACGGCCGCACGTCCCGCAGGGGACGGCCGCACGTCCCGCAGGGGACGGCCAGTCCAGGACCGCACGTCCCGCAGGGGACGGCCGCGTCCGCAGGACGGCCGCACGTCCCACAGGGGACGATCATACATCCCATAACAGATTACATCTTGAAAAACAATCTTTTACAAGACATAATAATTTACAAGTCATATAAATATTTTACAATACATAATAATAATTAAGACTAAAAGCTGGACGGCACTCCTGGGGGTGGGGGGGATGTACCTCTTTAATTCCAAGGTACTAGAGGACCTCCACGACCATCAAGGAACATCCCCATGAGGATAAACCCACAATAAAACCATAATAAATACGAGAAAAGGCTGAAATAACTTACCCTTTGTGAAAATGGTTGTCTGTTACCACCCAAGGATCTCTGACCAGGGCGTCCACGGGTCTGTCCTAAGGAGACGCCACCACGTCTTATCCCTCCACGGCCTCTCCCTCGCATCCCACGACCCACTCCGCCACCTCTCCGGGTCCCCGGCTTTATCTTCTGCGTCTTTATGATGTCCTCCAGGCTCATATCCACTTTAGTGGCCATATTTTTGGGTTATGTGTGGCTGGCAGAGGTGGCGACGGTGCACAAGTATGGCGTCTCAACGCTGGCTGGGTCCACCTTGTCTCACTTCTCATAGTTGACATGACTTAACTTCACCTTTTTTATGTTTATAATGCAATGCTGGATGTCATATTTCCTGTAATTAATCATATCTTTTTTATTTGATATTATTTTGATATTTTTAATGTGTATTTGTAGCTTAAAGTGGAAGTTTATAGATTTTTAATTGTGGTTTATGTTCCTAAGCCACTGTCATTAATCGTACATTTATGAAATTTTCACTAGATAAATATGTTTTTTATTTAAAATCACAATTAGTATCATCCTAAAGTATATATACAAACACTTAAAGATGACTTTTTACAGCAGAATCCACTTTATTTACTAGTTACCTATAACAAGGAATACCTTACCGGCATAAACAAAATCTTACTACATCTCTCTCAGAAATATAAATTAGAACCACATACCCCCCACAGCACTTCCTCGCATTTAAATCTAACTGAAAAATAAATACCCCCCATTAATAAGCATCATTTCAAGGGAAATATATTAATATTTTAGGTTTTTAGTGCCTAAAGCCAGTGTAAACAAAGAGTCCATGTCTCTCTTCCCAGCTTACTCTGTCCACCACAATTGTGGTATGTTTTACGTGTTTTTGTAGTTCTCTGGCGTTTTGTGTGTTCATATTAGGCACGTTAATCCGTGGAGATGTTGAAATGGTTGTTTGTAATGTTATTTAGGACTTATGGGACTATGCGAGAGTGTGGGAAGCCTCGAGACTCGCTGTGTGAAATTCCGAATTTGTGACAAGCTGGGTAGGCCTACTGGCCCACCAAAGGCTAATTATACGTATTTCTAGCCGTTTCATTTCAAATGTTTAGCTAAAATATTTTTTAAAGCCACCCAGAGTGTTTTATGATTTGTTTCAAGGAACCCGGTGCAAATAAGTCACCGAATTATATTTGGGTTATCCTCTGAATTACCCTTGTGGGTTTAGTGCTTATTTATGGTGATTTGGGTTATCCTAGTTAATTTACACTATATGATAATTTGCTTCTGTCTCCTGAAATGCATCATGTTAATCATTTATCATGAGGTAGCTTTAATTTTAATGGCTTCGGTAAATGGTCTAATCCTTTCCAGGGCTTGAAGAGATCCTACTGGTTATCATGAGTTGTCCTTTCAGAGGCAGCCACTAGTGAGCTGTAGCTCCTTGGGTTAGTTACCAATAATTGTCCCCAGGAAGTGTCAGCCACTAGTGGCACATTTTAAATCACCATGGTGTCATGTCTAAAAATAATGCCGAGAGAATAATTAAGTCCATGCTGGTATGCTTAGCTGTTTTTTTTAATCATCATGTCTTTGTTTTTTAGTTATTTAAAAATTTTATTTCAGAGTAATATTAGAATTCTTCCTATATATGGTTACAGTATTTGATCCTGTGTTATTAATAAGCCATTTTTTTTATTAATAAGTAGCTTTTTTTTCTAATTTGTTATTATTTTAAATTTTCATTTTTGTCTTGACTAATACATTAGTTAAACTACTTTCCGTCTTATACGGGTGAGGTTAATTTTTCGCATCATGAGTGATTAGTTCCAAAAGATTGTGTTTTTATATTAAATATAAATAAAAAATGTTAGCTTGGTTTTTTCTACATTTTTCAATTTTTAAATGTTAGTAAAGATTTTTTCATATTTTCAAATGTAAAGATATCTAAAATGTGAGCAAGTCTTTGTACGTAGTGTTCAATTAAAACAAAAATGTAAGCAGATTTTACTTCAGTTTAAATAAAAAAAAAAATGTAGAGCAAAGATTTTTTACATATTTTCAAATATAAAAAAAAAAAATGTAGAGCAAAGATTTTTTACATATTTTCAAATGTAAAAAAAAAAAAGATCTGTTTTTTTACATACTATCAAATGTTGAAAAAAACATATACAGTGGTCCCTCGTTTTTCGTAATTAATCCGTTCCTGGAGCCGTTACTATAAACAAAATTTACGATTTACGAATCAATTTTCCCCATAAGAAATAATGTAAATACAATTAATCCGTTCCTGACACCCAGAAGTATTAAAACAAAAAAATTTTTAACATGAAATATACATGTAGTACATAAACAATACAATGGGAAATGATGAATGAAACATTAACAGCATAACACTTACCTTTATTGGAGATTCTTCTTAGTGTTGGGAGACTGGAGGAGGAGAGAGAGTGGATTGTTTATAGTTTGGAAGGGGAATCCCCTTCCAGCAACACCTCAGGTACCATTTGCTTTTCTGGGGTTGCTTCTCTTCTCTGTTTCTTAATGCCACTAGGACCACCTTGAGAGTCACTGGAGTCCTGTCTCGCAAAATAACTGTGGAGAGAGCTCTGTTTCTGGCGTCTCTTTAACACTTCCCTAAAATGGCCCAAGACTTTGTCACTGTACATGTTGCCAACCTGGCTTGCAACAACCTTGTTAGGGTGATGTTTCTCCATAAAGCTTTCCATCTTACCCCACATAGTAAAAATCTCTTTAATTTTTGAAGAAGGCACCTTCTTCCATCTCTCTTCCTCCTCCTCTGCAGCAAGATTCTGAGCTGCGATGTGTTGCTCTTCCTGCTGAAGCTCTTGCAGCTCCTCAGTGGTGAGCTCTTCATTGTGGTCTTCCACCAATTCTTCCACACCTCCAAACTCACATCCAACCCCATGGAACTCCCCAGTGCCACAATTGATTTTACAACAGACATAGGCTCATTAGGGTCAGTCCCAAATCCTTCAAAATCCTCTTGTCAACACAATCTGGCCACAATTTTCTCCAGGCAGAGTTCAAAGTCCTGGTAGTCACTCCCTCCCAAGCCATACCTATAAGGGTTATGCAGTGGAGGATGCTGAAGTGTTCTCTCCAAAATTCCCTTAGGGTCAAGTGAGTGTCTGTGGTCACAGTCAAGCACCTGTGAAACATTGCTTTTGTGTAGAGTTTTTTAAAGTTTGCAATAACCTGCTGGTCCATGGGTTGGAGGAGAGGAGTGGTATTCGGGGGCAAGAACTTTACTGTGATGAACCCAAACTCCTCGAAAATTAGGTCATCCAAGTTTGGAGGATGAGCAGGTGCATTGTCCATTACTAGCACGCACTTGAGATCCAATTTCTTTTCCAGGAGATACTCCTTCACACTAGGGCCAAACACTTCATTGAACCACTCGACAAAAATTTCCCTCGTGACCCATGCCTTACTATTAGATTTCCAAAACACACACAATTTACTCTTCATAACATTGTTTTTCCTGAACACTCTGGGATTTTCAGAATGGTACACTAGTAATGGCTTCACTTTGAAATTCCCACTAGCATTAGCACAGAACATTAGCATCAGCCTGTCTTTCATAGGCTTGTGTCCTGGCATTGCCTTTTCCTCTTGTGTAATGAAGGTCCTCTTTGGCATTTTCTTCCAAAAGAGGCCTGTTTCATCACAATTGAACACTTGTTCAGGTTTCAGTCCTTCAGCCTCTATGTACTCCTGGAATTCATGCACATATTTTCAGCCGCCTTGTGGTCCGAACTGGCAGCCTCACCATGCCTTACCACACTGTGTATGCCAGTACGGTTCTTAAATCTCTCAAACCAGCCTTTGCTGGCCTTAAATTCACTCACTTCACCACTATTTGCAGGCAATTTCTTTACCAAATCTTCATGCAACTGCCTAGCCTTTTCACAAATAATCAAAGTCATAAGAGTATCTCCTGCTAATTGTTTCTCATTTATCCACACCAATAATAACTTCTCAACCTCTTCCAGTACTGGTGATCTCATTTTTGTCAGCATAGTTACTCCCTTTGCAACAACAGCATCCTTGATTTCCTTTTTCTTGGCCACTATGGAACATAAGGTTGTGTAGGGTTTTTTATACATCCTGGACAGTTCGGCCACACTTGTACCACTTTCATATTGTTCAATGATGGTTTTCTTAAATTCAATCATATTTCTCACCTTCTTTACCACAAGCTTGGCACTAGGAGCTTTCTTTGGAGCCATGGTAGCTTATTTAGTACTTGCAAGCACTAAAATAAATGGAATATTATGAAATATTTCACTGGAGCACGTGAGAGGACCTTCGCTCACTGGTAAACAATGCCAGACTGGCTGCCGCCCTGGCTCATGCAGTGGGTACGCGTCCCGGACGAACTATGACTCGCGAGTCAACCTATGAAAAGCGAGTCCATGTTTATACGAAAATACCCCTATGATTGGCGAATTTTACGATTGCCGGGAACTACGAAAAGCGGGGGACCACTGTATATGTGTTTGGACCATTTACGGGTTAAGCATGAAATTAAGATTATTTTTCACAACTGTCTCAAGTAAAAATACTACATTATTTCAAAATAAAACTGATTGGATTATACTGACACAAGTTTCTGATTTAGAAATGCATGGTTTCTAGAATATATTTTAGGCTTATAATACAAGATTTTATTCTGAAATTTGTGTACAGACTTATGATACAAGACTCAGTCCTGAAATTTGTTTACAGCGCTGTATCAGAAGATGGGGAAATATCTCGTGAGAGTGGTGAAGCGACGAAGTCTCCACAGGTGGATAAAGAAAGATCACCCTCACCCAAAAAGAAGAAAAAGAGGAAGAGAAGGAAGAAAAGCAAATCTCAGAAAAATGATTCGTCTTTAGATGAATCAAGCACTGAGGAGGTAAACAGGAAGAGAAAAAAGCACAAAGACAAGAAGCCTCAGTACCCTAATCCTGATAAATATTCGTCCAGGTCACGTTCAAGATCCCTAACTCCTCCAAGAAGTACAGATAAAAGAGCTAGGTTGGGGTCGCATTCCAGATCAGGATCCAGGTCAAGAAATGTTGAGTCAAGAAAACAACTGAAGTATCGAAACAGATCCAGGTCACGAACCAGAAGATCTCACTCAAGATGTATATCATCCAAATCAGGATCGAGAAACAAGTCCAGGTCATTGTCTAGAGGTAGGAAATCCAAGTCAGCGTCGAGATCTAGAAAATCCAGGTCATGGTCGAGAGGTAGAAGGTCCAGGTCATGGTCAAGAAGCAGAAGGACCCGGTCAAGAAGCAGAAGGACCCGGTCAGGAAGCAGAAGATCCCGGTCAAGAAGCAGAAGGACTCAGTCAAGAAGCAGAAGGACTCGGTCAAGAAGCAGAAGGACTCGGTCAAGAAGCAGAAGGACTCGGTCAAGAAGTAGGAGGTCCAGATCTTGGTCAAGAAATAGAGGATCGAGATTCAGAAGATCTAGATCAGGTTCCAGGTTAGGATCAACATCAAGATCAAGAATTAAAAGGAGTCCAAGGCCGAGATTCAGAAGATCCAGGTCAGGCTCAAGAAAAAGACGGGGTATAAGGCAGCAGGCGTCACGTTTTAAGAGAAGGTAAATAAGCCCAAAATTAGAAATATTTGTGGTAATATTATGTTAAGGACATGAAACGTGTATTTTCTTTAATTACAAATGAGAGTTTATATACTTATATTATTTATGTTAAATATAATTGGAATGAACTTTAATAAGTGACTTCCACTCACGTTTTCACAAAATAACAGGAATGCAGTACAATCTTTCATTTCACGCAAATACGATATGTTAGTCACTCAGTGTGTGTGTTATGTTATTGAAAGTCAGCACATACAGTAAATGTAATATATTAATACATGTATATATTAAACTCTGTTAGATTAGTTTGGTTAGGTAATACAGACAAGAATCCTTTATCTTATTTGCTTGGGACTGGAAGTGTTTTGGATTTTGGATTTTTTCAAATTTTGGAATATTTGTATATTTGCATCTATAAAATAGGACAGCTTGGGGATGGGACCCAAATCTAAACATAGTACTGTACTGTACAGGTACTATACCAAAAAAACATGTGCTGCTTACAAAAAGACGATAAATGCCCCCAATTCTGACTGACTTAAGCTAAAATGCACTGAATTTACATGAAACAGTGCTAAAATGGGATAAATTTATGTGAAATGTTACTAAAATATGCTAAATTTACAGGAAAGTGCTAATCACACTAAATTCACATGAAGTGCTAAAATATGCTATATTTATATGAAATGGTGCTAAAATGTGCTAAATTTATGTAAAATGGTGCTAAAACATGCCTAAAGAAAAGTCGTGAGTTTAAAATGGTACAGGATGAACTGAAATATCTGAGGACCACAGTGGTAGCACCCAGAAGGACAAAGGGGTGAAACCCCTAAAATACATCAGTTCCCCCCTAAACCCCCAAATAAAAAAAATAATACTGCCTCAAGACAAGCTCCTTAGCCTCCCACCTCTTTCAACTAGATTTCCACCTTTGAGCCACTCCAATATAAACCTTGTGGTGCCACCCCTAAAGGATGCTTCTGGAGCTCAACTTCTCTGTGGCCTAGTCCCAGACCAGGCCTCCTGGTGTATCAGTGCCTGATCAACTAGGCTGTTACTGCTGGCTGCTTGTAGTACAACATAAGTACCACAGGCTGGCTGGTAAGGAACTGATTTGAGGAACTTGTTAAGTTACCCCCATGAAGAACTTGTTAAGGTCCCTCTTGAAGACATCCAGAGGTTTGTTGGCTATTCCCCTCATGCATGAAGGAAGGGCTTTGAAAAGTCTGGGATCTCTGACATTCATTGGGTTCTTGCTCTCTAGGGATTAATCTCCAATTCTTGGGTTAATTGTGAATTGTTTCAGACACTGTATTGCTGACTTATTCTATATAGTACTCGTTTGTGCTCTCCAGGATGCATTGAAAGTTAAATGATAATTTGTGTTTCTAGTAGATCAAGATCGTATTCACCGCCTGGAACAAGGAGGCGCTGGAGGTCCAAGTCACGCTCACGGTCAAGGGAACGTGTTAGACACAAGAATAAGGATAAGAAAAACAAGAATGACAGTGTGAACTATTTTGAGTAAGTTTGAACTTTGTAACACTATAACTTACTTCATTTTGAGTGTGTGAACAGTGATCGCTTGATTATTGGACCTAAAGGGAAAAAAGGTGTGGGCAGATAATCAAAATTTTTGGTAATTGAAGATCTTTTAGCCAGTTAAACTTTCATTTTATTCTTGAGATTGGCAGAACAGGGATTTCTCTGTTTTGATCTCAGATTCACCTTGTGAACACACAGTACATACTGGTATATAGCACAGATCTATAAACATTGGTTAATCATACCTTTCAGAGCCTTGATATCTAAAATGCTTGCAAATTCTTAAAAGAAAAAATGAACCCAACTCATACACCAAACAAACATATAAAATCAGTTCATTTGATAAAGTAAATAAATAATAAATATATATATATATATATATATATATATATATATATATATATATATATATATATATATATATATATATATATATATATATATATATATATATTATATGTATCTATATTATATATATATATATATATATATATATATATTTTTTTTTAACAAGTCATTCTATCTTCCCATTATTAATGTGATTAATTTTTTCCCAAAAATATGATCACGTGTACAAACGAGTCATAAATAAAAGTCCCTGCATTTGATAAAAAAAATACATATTAATTTGCCTTGAGTGAGTTAACAATTTTGTCTCATAACTCTTGTATGGCAAATACATTACTTTGGCTTCAGGAATCTTGCATGCTGCACCGCTACTTCAGTAATTACTTTACAAATTACATTTGAAAAGTTCCATATACATTATGTGCATTAAGTAATTATAAGAGATGTCTGTTCACAGCCTAATACAAATGAATGGTGTATTCACATGTTAAACTTAACTTACACAACTTACATTAGCTTTAACTTAGCAATACGTAACATTTAATCTTGGCTTCCAGAGACAGAGTCATGGCTGGATTGTGTACTTGGCGTTCTAACCACAAATTGATCCATTTTTGTCTGTTTCCTATTGACCATCTAAAGAATAAAGTCTTTGATCGCCCTTAAGTGTGGATATTGACCTGCCAAGCCCTCATGATCAGTTAATAGAAGCAAGATTGGTAAGTTTATCCACATATTCCAAATATGAACTGTATTTTATCTGTTGTAATGCATGAACAAAATCTCCATCATCTTCCACATGGGTAGAACTCGTCTGGGCAGTCTCCTCATCTCTTAATATGACGTAACCTGAATTCCTAGCATTAACCTCTACTTCATTTGTCTTTCTAAACGTTATATGAATCTCAGTATTGAATTGTTTAGTCATATTCTGATTATGCATTATCATCAAGAGGGTTAAGTTTATTGTAGCAGTCTTTGAGGTCCTCCTATTAATCTCACTCAGAACTTGAGCCCTTTTAGAGATTCAGTATCTTCTTTAATTGCACACATCTATTTTTTCTTAAGCTGCTTTTGGCTCTATTGTCCATCTTCATTAGCCTATGCTAGGCGGGTCCTACTCACTCATGTTATTAGCGTCAATGCTGCTGTCCTGTTTATCCATTCCACTGCTACTTTGTACTCAAAGATATCAGTCTAAATAACATCAAAAATATTATATACAAATACAATGAGTGAATGATGGTGAAAGTTTTTCTTTTTCGGGCCACCCTGCCTTGGTGGGAATCGGCCAGTGTGATAATAAAAAAAAAAAACAATGTATGTGACTGAGAGTGGTTGGGTTTGAGTATGACCTGCCAAGCATGGGTCAGTAGGCCTATTGCAGTGCTCTTAAAGTATTTATCTTCTTGACTGTAGTTGAAATTCTTTTGTACCAGCTTTCACTCTCCTAACTCATCTTCATAAGAACTTAGAATTACCATATCTTTTCTCAATGTACCTTTTTTAACTGGGAGGGATGTGGTGTTGGGTGATAAACATTTTATTTTAACATCCTTTGAAGTTAGAATATGAGCATTTGGTTTAGTAAGGTCATAGTTTATCAATAACAAAGCCTTAGTGTTGACGGCATCCACAACCACAGTTCTGGATAAGCAAAGGCCAGATAATCAAGCGACCATTGTAATTGTGTACTGTATATTTGTACAAGTACTATATACATGTATAGTACACATACATGTGTGCATGTATTTGTAAAAGTACAGTAATTTGTATATTACACAGAAAAAAATTTATAATATATAATATATATATATATTATTTTTTTTTTTTAAAATGCTGTTGATGTGTGTAGTGGTGTGTGTGTGTGTGTGTGTGTGTGTGTGTGTGTGTGTGTGTGTGTGTGGTTGTTGTGTTGTTGTGTGTTTATTTATTCTAAATACTGAATAAATATTTTGAATTTTACGAATAACCTACAATTTAGAGATGACACTTGTTTAAAGTTTCTTTACCAAATTGTGGGTTATTATTTAATTGTTCCAGCCACAATGTTGTGCCTTAATTTTCAAATACTTTGAATCTGTCTTTCATATTCACAAGTACACAGTAATCAGTATACACGTATTTTTTACTTAGATCAGATAAGATAGTCATGGGCAGCAAGAGCGTCTTCTTGGAGGACCTTCATGGTTTGGTCAAACCTGAGAGGGCCTTTTTCCTCAGTGCAGATGGGGACAGAAACAATATCGCATTTCCCACCACACATCACACTCAGTTAGCAAGGTACGGTTATGTGTATTCTGTTTAGCGATGTACTGGAAAGAAGGGACGAAGGATTTTTTTTCTTTTTTAATAAACAAAATGTCGTTCTTCAAGGTGAGTTTGTGTTATGTGAAGGATTGTGTTGTGCTTGGAGAACGTTATGCACTACAGGGTGAGTTGTAATAGTCATATGTCAAAACTGTATGACAGTTCCTCCTCCAGAGAGTGTATTTAGAGTTTCTAAACATGTCCCAGAGAGTGTATTTAGAGTTTCTACACATGTCCCAGAGAGTGCATTTAGAGTTTATAAATATGCTTTGGTGTAAACAGTATTGTATTTACGTTCTGGGGATGTTCAGAAGTTGTTAATGAGCTTAATATATCTTTAGTCATTTTATCTAAATTTACCTTAAATTGTTTTAATATAGCTCCATCTTGTGTGCTTCCTTAGCAATGGACTCATCTGCAGTACTGGTCAAGAACAGCCAACTTCTCATCAGTATTCTGGAATTTTCACTTCACACTGTCAGCATCAGACTGGCTTGCTCATCACAGTGGTGGTGTGAAGATTTGACTAAGCCTCCAGATTCCAGGGCCTAATTGGTTAATTAATCGTGATGATTTAAAAAAATTAAACAGTGATTGACTGGCTTTATATGCAGGCCAGTTGCATGTGACTCGTGTTTAGTGAACCTGTCTTATTTCTGCTTAAAAAAAAAAATTGAGGTGAGATACATGAATAAAAATATATACTATAAATTAATTTTTCAGATTTATTTTATTTCAACAAAAAAATATAATGACTGCTACATTTCAGACATGTGCGATAGAAAGGGATAAATACCATCCTAACAAATCTAAATTAGTGAATGAATTGATGCCTTAATGTTTCATCTGTTTGTGGGAATGTGTAGATTATGTCTAATGTATCTGTAAATTAGGCTCAGAGCCTAACTTACAGATACAGAGATATGTAGTTCTCTCTCCTTTGTTCACTATTAATTTCCTCCTTTTACATACCCTCCCATATTTGCCCACCAACCTTTGCAACTTCTCTTCAGAATCTCCCAAATGCATAGTGTCGTCGGCAAAAAACAGCTGTGACAACTCCCACTTTGTATTACGTTCTGTATATTTTAATCCCACACCTCTCCCAACACCCTAGCATTCACTTCTTTTACAACCTGATCTATAATTATCTCCCTTCCTTCCCTTCCTCATCCTCTGGCTCAGGCTTCAGGAGTAGAACTCTTGAAACCCCTCAGAGGTATATCAAGGGTATCCTCTTTCCTCTCACTCTTTGTTTCACATCTTGATTATTTCTATCATTTTTCTTGTTTTTTTTTTTTGTAATGGTAAGTACACTAGAGAGAGAAAATACAGCTGTTTTCTGTTATATGGACAGATGATTTAACAGATTTATATTAGACTTTTATGCATTTTTTAATGAAGAAGATGCACTGTCAAGTACCAAATATAAACGCAAAGAAATCTGTTGTAAATAATAATAATAATTTTCTCAAGAATATAATGCTGCTGAAGCCTAAATTATTAGTTTACATGTCAGGAAAACAACATGAATTATGGGAACTAGTTATTTTGCAAACAACTTTAGTAGATATACAGGTGGGCTCCACTTATACAGTGCAGCGCTGTATAGCCCTTGTGGTTTAGCGCTTCTTTATTATTATAATTATAATCCACTTATTATTATCCACTTATTATTTTCATATAGTCGGACTTGAGTCCTGGAAATGGGAAGTACAATGCCTGCACTTTAAAGGAGGGGTTCGGGATATTGGCAGTTTGGAGGGATATGTTGTGTATCTTTATACGTATATGCTTCTAAACTGTTGTATTCTGAGCACCTCTGCAAAAGCAGTGATAATGTGTGAGTGTGGTGAAAGTGTTGAATGATGATGAAAGTATTTTCTTTTTGGGGATTTTCTTTCTTTTTTGGGTCACCCTGCCTCGGTGGGAGACGGCCGACTTGTTGAAAAAAAAAAAAAAAAAATCCACTTATACAGCAGGTTAAGTTCTAGGCTACTGCTGTAAAGTGAAACATAGCCTTTTTCATTTTCAAATGGATATAAAAGTCTGATAATATGTTTACTCTATCTTATTTTAAGTAAACAATAGAGATAGCTCTAAAAAAAACTGCATATACAGTATACACATTACTGAAAATAATTTCATCTTTGGTTTATAGTGAGCGTTGGATATATTTACTGTAGGACGTCTGAATAAATGAAGAATGGGTATAACTGAAAACTGCTGCATTAGCAAAATACCACAAAATGAGGCTATATAAAATGGGGCCCACCTGTAATTCATGACGTGGGCTTACTGTGTAAGGAATACATATGTGAAAAATGGTAAGGTGATACCAACAAAATGTGGAAAAGACACTTATATTGAGTTCAGGATATTTCCTGTAATAAATGTCCTGGACTGTACCTAAGTGTTTTTTCCACATAGTAATGTATACATGTATGTTTAGTGCAGTGACAAAGCAGACCATACAAAGGCATCATTATGGGTAGCTCTTCCTGCAGTTGGCCTACCTGCAGCACCTCCTGTGTTTCACCTCGGCTGTGTAGTGCTAAATGATCCATACAGGTTTGAAACTCTCCACACGATAATAGCTCTAGTAATGGGCCATAGGTAAATTAATAATGTAGGTAATTCCAAGCTTGGATATTTTGTATATTAGTACGATGTACTAATTTTGTAGTTATGGGGTGCCATAGTAAATGAAGTGTACATCATGCTTAACAGATTTCTATATATAACAAAAAGTTACTTATTGCATTAACCCTTCAAGAAGGGTGCCATAATACTGATGGACTCTTGATCCAAGGAATTGAAGCTACTTTTCCCTTGCATCGCGCCTGATTATGTTTTCCCAGGAGCTATGTGACCATTACAAATTTATTGCTTTCTCATGAATATAATAATTTATAGCATTGGATTGCATGTATACATTTCTTCTGTTGCAGTTACAAGACGAAAGTCAAGGGACTTCTTGGAAGCAGTGTCACGAAAGATAAACTTAAGTCTAATAAGAAGACTCTGAGATATTTCAAGAGAGTTGCTCTGAAGATGATGTACTCCGATGCTACGAAGGTTAGAACATTGCCTATTGAGAATAGTGAAGGCAAGGAAAACCACAATGGCTATATTCCAGTTGAGCTGACATATGCCGAGGAAGCCAGAGCAAAGAATACCACCCAGCATTCAGAAGTGAACCCCCTGGGAATACACGATAGTACAACACAACAATATTTGATGGGCTTAGGAAATGTCAGGCAAGAGGAAAGCCAACAGAGTAGCCAAAAAATTGAATATGAATACTGGCAAAATCATTCAAAGAAGTACAACGAGAGACTTGGAAAAGAGCCAGGCAATGTACCGTTGTGGCTGGAATTTGTTAGATTTCAAGATGAAGCCTATTTGTATCTTTTTCAGGGTACAGACTCCAATAACAAGGATAGTAAAAAGAAGCATAAGAGAAATCGGAAAGCTTTAGCAGAGAGGAAAATTTCCATATTAGACAGTGCCATCAAGAAAAACTTTAGGTCTCTAGAGTTGCAGTTTGAGCGTCTGGAAATTGGCAAGGATATTTGGGATGACAAAAAACTCAAGCAGGAATGGGGCACACTAATATTCAACTTTCCAAATAAAATAAAAGTATGGCACCAATATCTGATATTTATGAAGACCCATTTCACCTCATTTAATTTGTCAGTGGTGGTGCAAACCTTTGCCAAATGCACTGAGAGACTGCAACAAATGCACAGTGGGGTGTTCTTGACTCATTCTCCACCTCCAGATCTTGGAAGATGCCTAGTGGATATAGCTGTCCAGCTTGCTCAAATATGGAGACAAGGAGGCCACATGGAGAGATCAATTGCCCTGTTCCAGGCACTTGTCGAGCTCAATTTTTTCAGTCCAAAACATTTGTGTACCAAGGATACGCCAGTGGAAGCAAGACTTGCTCTCTTTGAAGCTTTCTGGGATTCACGAGCACCAAGGTAGGTGCAGCATACTGTTTCAAGTAACCCTATGAATTGTAATTATTTTTTTTATTGGCACATCAGCCATTTCCCACCGAGGCAGGGTGACCCAAAAAAGAAGAAACGCTTCCATTATCACTCACTCCATCACTGGAGTAATGGTAGAATTACCCACAACATGTAGGTAAAGGGACACAGGTGCAATTAATGTGAAATTTTATTGTGGCAATGTTTCGCTCTCCAAGAGTTTGACATAGCTTAACAAAGTTCCTGGAGAGCAAAACGTTGCCACAATATAATGTCACATTAGTTGCACATGTTCTTTTACCTAACACCCATCAGTATTCCCTTATGCTGTACAGAATAATTTTTGATAAGCTAGGCTTGTGTAAATTGGTTATAATGTAACAAGTTTTAACATTGTGCTCTTACAGTCAGTATCAAATATTTTTAATTTAATAATTTCCGGGTTTTTTGTTTTTTTTGTGACGTAACTTTAAAAGGACAGAGCAAGATAAGTTGACCAAAAGCATGTATAAATCTGGGGTTGATGGAAGGAGGCATGGAGGGGCATGAGTATCCAACAGGCATGTTTGATTGGAGTGATCTGATTTACTGTTGCAGTGTTAGTAAGGTAACCTCTGTACATTTAAGAAAACTAGTGAAGCTGACTAGAGTTCTGAAGGATCATTGACTTATGTCTGTACTTTCTGGAAAGGCAGGTAGGGAGTGAGTGATGGGAGCTGTATTTCCTTCTTTGGGTACCCTACCTTGGTGGGCGATCTTATATGAACTTGTGGGCATATTAATATTTCTTTATTAAAGCATAAATTTTACATATTAAATGAAGAGAAATTTTATTAGTATGCTGTAGTATAAAAAGAAAAAACAGGAGTTAAAGGTATGATTAGCATATGCTGTAAAGAATGGCTTTTCAGGTGGAATTTGTTTGTTTTCAATACAATGGCCATCTCTCACTGAGGTAGGTACACCCAAGAAAAAAAAAACATACTCATCATCAATCATTCTGTTTTGTTAGAAATGTGTAAGCATTACAGTTCAGTTGACACTCCAAACTGCAACATTCCCATACCTCTTTCCGAGTGCAGACACTATACTACCTACCTCTCCAGTTCAAGTTCAGCTAACCAGTTGCCTTGAATGTTACCTTGCTCACACTCCAACAGCACATCAAGCCTTAAAAATCGTGTGTCTCTACTATGATTTAATATACTCACACAAGCTTACTGAACACTCAAGTCCTTAGCACTCAAACCTTCCTTCACCCTTCTCCTGGGATGATCCCTACCCATCTTTCCTTTTATCCCAGATTTGTATGCTGTCTTGATAATTCTACACAGCTCCAGCCTCTCTAAATACCCAAACCACCTCAACAGCCCTTTGTCAGTTCTCTGGATTATACCTTTGGCAACCCACACACCATCTTCTGATTTCTACACATCATGACATATCTACTGTATTATCTTTTTCTTTGCCTTTACTAGCTTCTGACTTGGTGGATTCTGTTCAGGTTTTTCTCATAGGGTTTTTGTCCTATTTCTTTTCCAAAGCCCATGGGCTAGTAGCCTTCCTTCAGCATTCATTTCTCTTGTTCTTGTATTATTATTATTATTATTATTATAATCAAGGGGGAAGCGCTAAATTCATAGGATTATACAGCACCTGTGGGGGGGGGGGTGATGTGGAAGGTATTCATGCTTAATTCAGGGAACTGGAGCACAAATCCAATTCCCTAGATCAGGAGCTCCTCACCAGCATCAAGGAACATTCTTTGAGGGGTCTTGTTCTTGTACCTTACCTCCTCCTCACAGCCATATTTAACCCTTTCAGGGTCCAGAGGCCAAATTTCGAAGTGTGCACCAGTATCCAAGAATTTTCAGAAAATAATTTTGTTATTTTTTTCTTATGAAATGGTAGAGAATCTTTTTCTGAAGGTAATAAAACAAAAAGTACAAAATTTGATGGAAAATTGACGAAATTATGCTCTCGCGAATTTTGATGTGTCAGCGATATTTACTCATCGGCGATTTTGCAAACTTTGACTCCCATTATTCCAGTCGACCAAATTCTTAGCTATTTCACTAGTATTACTTCTGTTCTATTAATTGAGCACAAGAATTCGCCAAGTCAACTGTTTCAACTACAAAATAAAGTGATCGGAAATTGGTAATTTGTCCAATTTAATGCAAAGTTCAAATACTCCAATTTCAAAATAGGGTCCAGAATAAACAATGCAGGCATTTCTGGCACTAAACTAACATTTACTCTGTTCATTAGTTACATTTTCAGGTTTTACTAATGAATTCCATTTTGATTTTTTATTCACATCATGAATTTTTATTCAAACCAAAAAATAGAAGATTTACTGTTATGCAATATTGTAATAATTGTTTAAATAATATCACCACATTTGTGAACATATATTAGACCCACCAGCAGGCGTGTATTAGACGTGTGAGGCCATTTGTTTACTCTTGAACATCGGCAAAAATTTAAATTTCCGCTACTTTGAGCTCAACTTCAAGCCATTTCCAGTACTAAAACCAACCAAAATCATCTCTATTTCTGTAACATATCTTCCATTCTATCAAATGAGACCAAGAAATCACAAATACAACTATAAAAAAAAACATACGAAAAAACACTGCAAAGTCACTGTTTTAAAATTACGGTCTCAGTTATTTTTCTCTCATTATGCACTATGGGCTGCAGGATTTGTTTTATGTGGTGCACACATACCACATAGATGTATTCTCTCATATCTAGGCCAAAATTTACCGCTCACAGCTTATCAGAGTGAGCTGAACTCATGACGTAGATCTACGGTTTGGACCCTCAACGTAAAGCCGTAGATCTATGGCACGGACCCTCAACGTAAAGCCATAGATCTATGGCATGGACCCTCAACATAAAGCCGTAGATCTATGGCACGGACCCTCAAAGGGTTAAAGCCCATTCCACATACCTATATAAAAGTGTTGGTATCACTCTTGTATATTCTGGTACATTCTACTTTTTTCCTCCACAGAGAAACCTCTTTATTTCCTTGGATGGCTCAACACACTTTTTTCCTTGCCTCGTATTTCACACATTCATCCGATGACATGTCCGCCCTCTTATGTCTGCATACCATACATTCACTTCCTCCTTAATTTCTCCAGTCTAATATCCACTTTTTCCCTGCATAAACTTTGTTTTACCGTACTCATCACACTAGAAATAAAGATTATAAAAATTAATATTATTATTATTCTTTCAACAAACTGGCCATACATAGTAATATATGCATACAGGAGAAGGGGTTACTAGCCCCTTGCTCCCGGCACGTTAATTGCCACTTACAACATGCATGGCTTATGGAGGAAGAATTCTGTTCTACTTCCCCATGGAGTATTATTATTATTACTGTAGTCTTTTCTATATTCACTTTTAATGGCTTTCTTTTACATCTCCCAAATTCATCTATATTTTATTGCATATCTTACTAATGTTCATATTGGACATTGCTGAATCATAATTATAATGTTACGTACTAATGTGTGAAGAAATAATAAACATGTTTGAGTACAGTTACCTAGGTTTGGCAGTCTTGTTGTATACAATGGACCCCCGGTTTACGATATTATTTCATTCCAGAAGTATGTTCAGGTGCCTGTACTGACCGAATTTGTTCCCATAAGGAATATTGTGAATTAGATTAGTCCATTTCAGACCCCCAAACATACACATACAAACGCACTTACATAAATACACTTACATAATTGGTCGCATTGGGAGCTGATCGTAAACCGGGGGTCCACTGTACTTTACTTTGTGAATATGCATATAAATCACTCCTATGTGGAATTTTACAGATTTGGTGAAGAGAATGCAATTGGATGGGCCCAAGTCATGGAGAGAAAGCAGAAGGTGGAGTTCCCAGAGGTTATATTAAGTAAGTTAAGGTCAGAAACGAGTGTCATTTTTTTAAGGGGAAGTTCCCATGGATTTTTTTATTTCTTTATCCATTGTACGATTTCATCCAAATTTTTATCATGTACTCTAGGAGAATGGAAGTGTATGAGGAAAAAGTTTCGTGAAGATCAGACAGTAAATAAAGATGAAAATACAAGGTAATTGTGGTTGATCTTAGGTAAGATTAAGTTGATTTCCAAATCACTTCTGCTTGGTCCCAGGGGCATGGTACCTTGAAACTACATTTGAGGTCATGACTGGAGCCACAGCTCTGGTAGGATTAATGACCGGACTTTCAATATAGCCATTTACATCATGAAAAATTTAATGAAACAAGACAGATGGTAAATAATACCAGATAAAAATTTATGAGTGGGGCTAGTAAACGCTTATCCTGTATAAATTACTAAATTTCAAAAGAAAAAAATTTAGTTTTTTCTTTTTAAGTCACCCTGCCTCAGTGAAATACAGTGGACCCCCGCATAACGATATTATTTCAATCCAGAAGTCTGTTTGGGTGCCGTTATAGACCGAATTTGTTCCCATAAGAGATATTGTGAATTAGATTAGTCCGTTTCAGACCCCCAAAAATACACCTACAAAAACACTTACAAAAATACACTTACATAATTGGTCGAGTTGGGAGCTGATCCTTATGCGGGGGTCCACTGTATAGCCAGTTCGTTGAAAAAACTTGAGATACTTCCTAGGAAGAGACATATAATATGGGACTAAAGAGAATATGAATACATGGAGTAACAATGTTAAATTAGTCCCTACAAATCATGAGGGACTGCATTCATAGGGGCACTGTTAATCTAATGTAAATTTATGCTTGCAACATAAATGTTCTTTCAGATTTGGACCCCTCAAGGCAGTTGCTTTGCTGCCAGTGAGGGAATCTTGATCCAAGGACTTGGACTCATCCTCCTCCCCTTGGATCAAGCCTTGATGCCTCCTGTTCCCCAGGAACTATATAACCTCTCAGGTTATATAGTTTCCCCTGATTAAAATAAAAAAGAAACAGATTTTATTTCATTTTATTCTTAGAAGTGCAAATTTGGGTGGGAAAATCACAGAACACAATTAAATTTTTTTTAACACATCAACTGTCTCCCACCAAGGCAGGGTGACCCAAAAAAGAAAAAAGTTTATCTTCTTTTTACATTTATAATTTATACAGGAAAAGGGGTTACTAGCCCCTTGCTCTCACCATTTTAGTCTCTTACGACACACATGGCTTACGGAGGAGTGATTTATCTCCACTTCCCCATGAAGTTCAAATGAAATTATGGTTGGTTTTCAATTTCAAGGTCATGTGCCAAACAATAATTCAAGCAAATGCACCAAACTTGACAATGGGTTACCAGCATGAAGCCCACAGATTATTTAGTTGTTTTCAAGTTGGTCATCAGTAAAAATACTAAAGGACTGAACCCCTCAAATGAGGAAGCCCACAGATTTGTAGGGACATCTGTCAATTAAATTTAATTTATACACTTTGTAAATATTTACTGTTGAAGACTTACTTTAATATGCAAATTAATTTTACAGTAATGCATGGCATTCTCAGAGCCATCATAATGTTAACAAAAAATCACAGAAATATAACCTTTTTAAATCATACAGTGCCACTAAAGTAAGGTAATATATGATGTTAGCTTTATATGGAGCTATGTGTAGAAAGAGGTTTGGTAATAAGTAATACATATTTTATGAAGAAGAGGATAAATAAATATACAAGGTATGATATAGCACGTAATGAAAGTAGTTTGTTTGATTATGTATTGGTGGATAAAAGGTTGATGGATAGGCTCCAGGATGTACACGTTTATAGAGGGGCAACTGATATATCGGATTATTATTTAGTTGTAGCTACAGTTAGAGTAAGAGGTAGATAGGAAAAGAGGAAAATGGCAACAACAAGCAAGAGGGTGGTAAAAGTGTATAAACTAAGGGCGGAGGAAGTTCGAGTGAGATATAAGCAACTATTGGCAGAAAGGTCGGCTGGTGCAAGTATGAGTAGTGGGGGGGTTGAATAGGGTTGGAATAGTTTTAAAAATGCAGTATTAGAATGTGGGGCAGAAGTTTGTGGTTATAGGAGGGTGGGTGCAGGAGGAAAGAGGAGTGATTGGTGGAATGATGAAGTAAAGGGTGTGATAAAAGAGAAAAAGTTAGCTTATGAGAGGTTTTTACAAAGCAGAAGCATTATAAGAAAGGTAGAATATATGGAGAGTAAAAGAAAGGTAAAGAGAGTGGTGAGAAAGTGCAGAAGGAGAGCAGATGATAGAGCGGGATAGGCACTATCAAGAAATTTTAATGAAAATAAGAAAAAATTTTGGAGTTAAACAAGTTAAGAAAGCCTAGGGAACGAATGGATTTGCCAGTTAAAAACAGAGTTGGGGAGTTAGTAGATGGGGAGATGGAGGTTTTGGGTAGATGGCGAGAATATTTTGAGGAACTTTTAACCCTTTGACTGTCGCGGCCGTATATATACGTTTGCGAGGTACCGTGTTTGACGTATATATACTCATAAATTCTAGCGGCTTCAAATCAGGCAGGAGAAAGCTAGTAGGCCCACATGTGAGAGAATGGGTCTGTGTGGTCAGTGTGCACCACATAAAAAAAATCCTGGAGCACGCAGTGCATAATGAGAAAAAAAAAACTCCGACCGTTTTTTTTTAATTAAAATGCCGACTTTGTGGTCTATTTTCGTATAGTATTTGTGGTTGTATTCTCGTTTTCTTGGTCTCATTTGATAGAATGGAAACTATATTATAGAAATGGAGGTGATTTTGATTAATTTTACTTAAAAAGAACCTGAAATGGAGCACAAAGTACAGGAAATGTTTGATTTTTGCCGATGTTCAAAAGTGAAACAAATGATGTCATTGTCCAATAAATGTCCAAATAGCCATTCTAATACGCAGTCATGAATGGGTTGATGTAATTTTTACAATTATTACAGTATTGCAGTAGTCTGCATAACAGTAAATCTTCTATTTTTTGTTTGAATAAAATTTCAAAATAAAAAACAAGAGTAATATCACAGGGACCTGGAGACATGACTGATGAACAAAGAAATGTTATTTTAGAGCCAGGAATGTCTGCATTTTTCATTCTGGACCTTATTTTGAAATTGTCGTATTTTTTAATTTTTGTGAAATTGGCCAAATTGCAAATTTCTGACCATGTTATTGGGTAGTTGAAATCGGTAAATGGGCAGTTTCTTGTACTCAATCGATAGAAAAAATAGAGTTCTGAAGAAATAGTTATGAGTTTGGTTGACTGGAATAACGGAATTAGCCGAAAATAGGGCTCAAAGTGGGCGAAATTGCCGATTTTTAAATATCGCCGAAGTCGCTAACTTCGCGAGAGCGTAATTCCGTCAGTTTTCCATCAAATTTCGTTTTTTTGGTGTCTTTACAATCGGGAAAAGATTCTCTATCATTTCATAAGAAAAAATAATTTTTTTTTTTTTCGAATATTTTGCGACACCAGAAGCAACTTCAGGATTTGGCCCTTCGACAGTCAAAGGGTTAAATGTCGACGAAGAAAGGGAAGCGGTAATTTCATGCACTGGCCAGGGAGGTATACTATCTTTTAGGAGTAAAGAAGAACAGGATGTGAGTGTGGGGGGAGGTGCGTGAGGCATTATGTAGAATGAAAGGGGGTAAAGCAGCTGGAACTGACGGGATCGTGACAAAAATGTTAAATCGAGGGGGATATAGTGTTGGAGTGGTTGGTATTTTTGTTTAATAAATGTATGAAAGAGAGGAAGGTACCTAGGGATTGGCAGAGAGCATGTATAGCCCCTTTATATAAAGGTAAGGGGGACACAAGAGAGAGTAAAAATTTTAGAGGAATAAGTTTACTGAGTATACCAGGAAAAAGTGTACGGTAGGGTTATTATTGAAAGAATTAGAGGTAAGACAGAATGTAGGATTCCGGATGAGCAGGGAGGCTTCAGAGTGGGTAGGGGATGTGTAGATCAAGTGTTTACATTGAAGCATATATGTGAACAGTATTTAGATAAAGGTAGGGATCTTTTTATTGCATTTATGGATTTAGAAAAGGCATATGATAGAGTTGATAGGGGAACAATGTGGCAGATGTTGCAAGTATATGGAATAAGTGATAAGTTATTAAATGCTGTAAAGAGTTGTTATGAGGATAGTGAGGCTCAGGTTAAGGTGTGTAGAAGACAGGGAGACTACTTCCCGGTAAAAGTAGGTCTTAGACAGGGATGTGGAATGTCACCATGGTTGTTTAATATATTTATAGATGGGGTTGTAAAAGAAGTAAATGCTAGGGTGTTCGGGAGAGGGGTGGGATTAAATTATGGGGAATCAAATACAAAGTGGGAATTGACACAGTTACTTTTTGCTGATGATACTGTGCTTATGGGAGATTCTAAAGAAAAATTACAAAGGTTAGTGGACGAGTTTGGGAATGTGTGTAAAGGTAGAAAGTTGAAAGTGAACATAGAAAAGAGTAAGGTGATGAGGGTATCAAATGATTTAGAAAGAAAAATTGGATATCAAATTGGGGAGGAGGAGTATGGAAGAAGTGAATGTTTTACAGATACTTGGGAGTTGATGTTTTGGCGGATGGATTTATGAAGGATGAGGTTAATCATAGAATTGATGAGGGAAAAAAGGCGAGTGGTGCATTGAGGTATATGTGGAGACAAAAAACGTTATCTATGGAGGCAAAGAAGGGAATGTATGAAAGTATGGTAGTACCAACACTCTTATATGGGTGTGAAGCTTGGATTGTGAATGCAGCAGCGAGGAGGTGGTTGGAGGCAGTGGAGATGTCCTGTCTAAGGGCAATGTGTGGTGTAAATATTATGCACAAAAATTCGGAGTGTGGAAATTAGGAAAAGGTGTGGAGTTAATAAAAGTATTACTCAGAGGGCTGAAGAGGGGTTGTTGAAGTGGTTTGGTCATTTAGAGAGAATGGATCAAAGTAGAATGACATGGAGAAGGAGAAGGAAGGCGGGGTAGGGGTCGTCCTCGAAAACGCTGGAAGGAAGGGGTAAGGGAGGTTTTGTGGGCGAGGGGCTTGGACTTCCAGCAGGCGTGCATGAGCGTGTTCGATAGGAGTGAATGGAGACGAATGGTATTTGGGACCTGACGATCTGTTGGAGTGTGAGCAGGGTAATATTTAGTGAAGGGATTCAGGGAAACCGGTTATTTTTATATAGCCGGACTTGAGTCTTGGAAATGGGAAGTACACTGCCTGCACTCTAAAGGAGGGATTTCGGGATATTAGCAGTTTTGAGGGATATGTTGTGTATCTTTATACGTATATGCTTCTAAACTGTTGTGTTCTGAGCACCTCTGCAAAAACAGTGATTATGTGTGAGTGAGGTGAAAGTGTTGAATGATGATGAAAGTATTTTCTTTTTGGGTCACCCTGCCTCGGTGGGAGACGGCCGACTTGCTAAAAAAAAAAAAAAAAACTTTGTATTGTTTATTACAAGAGTAGCTAATATTGTATTTTTCTTTTTTTATGTTGTGATGTCCCATAGGTGGAACACAAGACGAAGAAGATGACATCATATCCCAGGGAGGCACAACTTCACGTCTGTGGCTAGCGCTTGAGACCTCACGTGAGAGACATCACTGGCTGCCTTGGGCACAAGATCCCGAAGACTGTGAAGACCCAGACAGAATGGTTCCCTTTGAAGAACTCTCCCCCCACCTTTTCATTTTGGATTCTGTCGATGAGCGTTTTTATCTCGTCCTCCAGTTTCTTAACTTTTTCGGTGTGCCTGATACTAAAACTTTCACAGTGTCCATACCAACCGTTAACAAAGGACAAAAGAAATGCAACACAACTGAAATAAGTACAAATAACGATAATGCTTTTGAGCCTCAAATAATTGAAACACTGTCTGATATAGATTTATTTGGGTCCCATTTTCAGTTAGGAAAAACACATAAAATTAGTGAAATTCTGAATTTTGATACTGTTGGTCCATCTCTCCTAGAAGACTCGTGTGAGGAGTATTACCAGTTCTTGTGCCGGCTGCTTCAACAGGCATCTAATATATTTGATCAGTCCTATAGAAATAGAATAACAGTTCTGTACATCAAGCTGTTGAGTAAACGGTATCTAATCAAGAAGAAAAACAACACTGATAAGGCCAGGCTTAAAAGCTTTGGGAAAGAATTAAAGAAGCATATCAAAAATATATTGAAATCAGAGGAATTTAGAATGTACCTACCAGTGTACCTGGAATATGGTAAAATAGAGGAAGCTATGGGTCATTTTGACGAGGCTGAGAATGTGTATGCAACAGCGTTGTCCGTTGGAACAGCCAGTGGAAATGCTCTCGACATTACAAACGTAGACTTTCCTGCTGTTATGGACCTCTATAAGTCATATGTCCATCTTGAAATGGATAGAGAGGGAAAACTGTGCGATTGTAAGCACAGTAATAATGTCATGTACTCGCTTTGTTCACTGGTGATTGATGGAAAATTTGATGCAGCCGATGGGTCTCATGCACCAGGTGGGAACGTCCTCAAAGCTAAGAAAAAGCTGAACGAACTTCTGGAATTCTATAGTGATTCCATTGCATTTAATTGTGACAGTCATGTTCCAAAGGACAATGAAAAATTACTAACAGGTAAATTAGTGGTCTTTATTGCTATTTTACAGTTGCTAACTGTTGGTTTTAAACCTGCTTGTATAGTTTTTGAAACCATCATAGACAAAATTAAAGGAATATGTAAAGATCCAATTCCTCACAAGCTAGAGGATATTGCATTGCCTTCAGAAAGTGCTATTACTACTCCAATAATGGAGGAGAAAAGGAAAAACAAAGGTGATAGTTAAAAATATTGGAAAGCCTCTATGAAGACTACCTGTGGCTCATAGAAGTGTCGTCTCAGCTTGGCCATCTGGTCAGGGACGGCACAATGTCACCAGTGTCACTGAGGGCGATTCTCACATCAGCTGTGCAAGTTGCTCCAGAAAACCAAAGATTTCTCCTGGTACTTGCTCAGAACCAGGTATGTGCTTTATTTTCAGAATTTATTTGGAATTTACATGTAACCCTTTACACAGATAACCCGCACATAGAAGAGAGGAGCTTACAATGATGTTTCGGTCCGACTTGGACCAAAACGTTGTCGTAAGCTCCTCTCTTCTATGTGCGGGTTAACCATGTATTGTTCCAGTCATGGTATTGTGCCTTTGTTTGTTATTCGTGTAACCTTTTCACTGTCACAACCTCTGAAATAGTGCTGACGGTGTTGCAGGTTTTCAAAATCACAGCACTGGAGTAGTTGAGAACTGTTTTCTGAAACTAATGGCACAAAAAATGCTAAATTTAATGGAAAACTCATGGAATTACAATGCCGCAGAGTTGGCAGTCTGGGTGTAATTTATGCATCAGTGACTTGACTCGTTTTGAGTCTTTAGCAGTTCCATTGCTCAGTTTGACCCAGTTCGTAGCTAGATTTCTAGTATTCCTTTCACTATCAATTTAGAACAAGAAACTGCTCATTTAAGGATCAGAACTACCCTGTAAAGTGCACAGAAGTTGGTAATTTTACCATTTTTACACAAAATTCAAACAAATTCCCAAACTAAACATTGTAGGCATTCCAGACACTACTGCAACCTTTCCTTTCCTATACAGCACTTTTCCTCATTTTGAAGTCATCATCAAAAAAAAAAAATCGTTTTTTACCCTTTTTCTTGGATAATAAGATGCGGTATGAGCAAGAATGATTTGTCATGGCTCTGGACATCCTAATAACTGAAGCGGGGGGGGCTATCTTTTCTAGGAAAAATCACCAAAACTCAGATTTTTGCCACTTTGAGGCCTATTTCAAGCTACTTTGGGTCTGAAACTGACCAAAATTATCTATTTCACTAGTGTTTTCCATTGTCAATAAAATCATAAAACTACCCTAGAAAACACAAAGTTACTATTTTAGACAAGACACATTCACAGAATATTTGAGAGCAGTGTGCTTAAAACAGACGAATGTGAGCGATGCTGGCATCAGTAATGTAGATTTACTTGGGAGACAGTGAAAAGGATAAACTTGTATTTTTTTATTTAATTGATCTCTGGATTTTTATTCAAATTAATGCATTGTTGGAATTCTTTCATATAAATTTTCTCTCACCATTAATGGCTAACCACTTAGCCCCAATTATACAATAAATGTAAAACTAAATGTATTAGAAAACCTTTAATTTTTTGCATAAAAATGACTTGTGGTCTGATTTGCAGATTTAATAAGAGAAATTTCTTTAACTGCTGTTTTTCAGGGACTTATTTCCCACACACACTAACGTAAAAATAAATTTAGTTTAAGGATACTTCTGCTGTGGTATTATTATTATTTTTCTCAACTCGCCTGCTGTATCCCACCGAGGCAAGGTGATCTAAAAAGAATAACAAGTTTTTTCCTTTTACATTTAATAATAATGTCAACCATGGTGACATTACACATCCCTGTCTAAGACCTCCCGGTAAAAGTAGGTCTTAGACAGGGATGTGTAATTGTCACCATGGTGTTTAATATATTTATAGATGGGTTGTAAAGGAAGTAAATGCTAGGGTGTTTGGGAGAGGGTGGGATTAAATTATGGGGAATCAAATTCAAAATGGGAATTGACACAGTTACTTTTTGCTGATGATACTGTGCTTATGGGAGATTCTAAAGAAAAATTGCAAAGGTTAGTGGATGAGTTTGGGAATGTGTGTAAAGGTAGAAAGTTGAAAGTGAACATAGAAAAGAGTAAGGTGATGAGGGTGTCAAATGATTTAGATAAAGAAAAATTGGATATCAAATTGGGGAGGAGGAGTATGGAAGAAGTGAATGTTTTCAGATACTTGGGAGTTGACGTGTCGGCGGATGATTTTTGAAGGATGAGGTTAATCATAGAATTGATGAGGGAAAAAAGGTGAGTGGTGCGTTGAGGTATATGTGGAGTCAAAAAACGTTATCTATGGAGGCAAAGAAGGGAATGTATGAAAGTATAGTAGTACCAACACTCTTATATGGGTGTGAAGCTTGGGTGGTAAATGCAGCAGCGAGGAGACGGTTGGAGGCAGCGGAGATGTCCTGTTTAAGGGCAATGTGTGGTGTAAATATTATGCAGAAAATTCGGAGTGTGGAAATTAGGAGAAGGTGTGGAGTTTAATAAAAGTATTAGTCAGAGGGCAGAAGAGGGGTTGTTGAGGTGGTTTGGTCATTTAGAGAGAATGGATCACAGTAGAATGACATGGAAAGCATATAAATCTATAGGGGAAGGAAGGCGGGGTAGGGGTCGTCCTCGAAAGGGTTGGAGAGAGGGGGTAAAGGAGGTTTTGTGGGTAAGGGGCTTGGACTTCCAGCAAGCGTGCGTGAGCGTGTTAGATAGGAGTGAATGGAGACGAATGGTACTTGGGACCTGACGATCTGTTGGAGTGTGAGCAGGGTAATATTTAGTGAAGGGATTCAGGGAAACCGGTTATTTTCATATAGTCGGACTTGAGTCCTGGAAATGGGAAGTACAATGCCTGCACTTTAAAGGAGGGGTTTGGGATATTGGCAGTTTGGAGGGATATGTTGTGTATCTTTATATGTTTATGCTTCTAGACTGTTGTATTCTGAGCACCTCTGCAAAAACAGTGATAATGTGCGAGTGTGGTGAAAGTGTTGAATGATGATGAAAGTATTTTCTTTTTGGGGATTTTCTTTCTTTTTTGGGTCACCCTGCCTCGGTGGGAGACGGCCGACTTGTTGAAAAAAAAAAAAAAAAAAAAAAAAATAATATCAAAACTAAGCGCTAAGCCCATCAGTGGTAACAGTGATGTTCTACATTGCACCTACCATTATTATCTTAAGACTTCTAGTGGATTTAATATTTATCGCTGAATGACACGGGTTTAGACTTTTTAACACGCTGGCCGTCTCTCTCCCACCAAGACAGTGTGATCCGAAAAAGAAACACTTTCACTGTCTTGCCAGAGGTGTGCAGATATGAATTACCATTCCCCCAAAATTTGTGTCAAATGTGAATTCTTATTTTTGTTTACATGGAACTACTTTAATGAATTGATACTGCAGGGTTGGCGTGATCTTCTGGGAGGCTTGGAGATCCACTCACAGAGAAGTTCTTCCATCGTGGTGTTGGTGTCGCAGATCTTGCCTCACGTCCAGAGAACTGTCACTCTCATTAATAACACAGATGAAGGTTAGTTTCCACATTATTTGTACTAATGGGGAAATCTTATACCCATAAAGGTCATATATATAGCACTTGGGGATTGGATGCAATCAGGCTTGACCCAAGGAAAATGAAGATAGCTCCAATTTCTTGGATTTAGAGTGATTCACTAGCATCAGAATAGCATAAAATCCTCATGCACACACATTTATGGGGGTTATTGATCATGATGTAGCCTTTATGAAAACTGCTACATTATAAACAGAAGCATCAAAGAGGGTGAATGCTTTAATTTTTAAACTTAAAATGGTATAATTTAGTTTGTAAAATGGTGAAGATTGGTGAAAAAATATGTACCAAGATAGTAGAGAAAGCATGCAAAGAAATCTTCAAGGTGTGCAAGGCTCTCAATAATTTTAGAGAAAGTGTGTTGTAGATTAGATAAACAACAGTTGAAGATCTTGAGCATAGACAAGATTTAGAATGCATGTAGTTAAATAGTGATAAAGTTTTAACAAAGGAAGAAAAGAACATGCAAGATCTGTTAGCATGAATAAGTCACAATATTGTGGCTGGAGAAATTCACCGTTATCCAGCCATTGGTAGTGAAAACTTCCAATGATTTTCTGGTCCATCCTAGACTATTACCGAGTCAACTAAATAAACAGTTCTGGCAGAAAATGAGGGAGGCATGTAAGGCAATTGAAAGTTTTTGTGAAAGTGCTGAAAGTGAAAGTAACCAATTACATTGTTGAAATTTCATATAGAATGTAGTGCATATAACTGTTATAATTTAAAATCCCCTAGGAATATTCGTGAAAAGAGTTGAGCATTAGACAGCAGGAAATATACAAGAAAAGCATTAATAAATACATTACAGAATGTGCTTGGAGGAGTATTTTCGGGATAAGATACTTTATGAAATTAGTTGAATGTATGAAGTTTAATTGTTGATAATTTAAAATCCTGGGAATGTGTGAAATGAATGAAATATTTGAAAAGGCAGGGGAATGAAAGAATGCAAGAGATTCACATTGGATGATTTGCAATGTGACTAGAGCACACTGGGTTTCTTCTATACAGTTACACGCTTAATAACCTCCGGAAATTGAGCATTAATGTGAGTATTATGTAAAGGTTTGATTATCTGGGAGCTGTGGTTGAATGGAACTAATCTTTCACAATATTCCTTATGGAGAAAAATTAGGTCAGTACTGGCACCTGAACATACTACTGGAATGAAAAAAGTTCGTTATCCGGGGGTCCACTGTATTGCCAAGTGTGAAAGTTTGGGTGTAACTGAGTAGCTCTAACCTTATTTTCAACAAAATAATCACTACTTATTTGGTAGGATATTAATCCCAATTTTAAACACTGTCAGGGTTGCTCAGTTGTGGTCACCGGTTAGAGAACGTGTTACGAAAAGGAGTAAGTCGACCTCCGGGCAACCACTGTCCTCTTCTATGGAGATTATATTTGGCTCTAGTTGCTACTACACAACCTAAGAAATTAAGGGAATTAATTTACAGGGCACTCTCTCATTGCCCTGGTGTCAAGGTAAGAAAATAATACATTACTGAAATTTAATCAAGTCTTTGTATCAGTATCATTGACCAATATCACATGGCCTCTTTTAGCTTAGCTAAAGTAATAAATATATATAATTACAGTATAGTAGGTAGTAGGTTGGTAGACAGCAACCATCCAGGGAGGTACTACCGTCCTGCCAAGTGAGTGTAAAACGAAAGCCTGTAATTGTTTTACATGATGGTAGGATTGCTGATGTCTTTTGTCTGTCTCATAAATATGCAAGATTACAGGCATGTCTTGCTACTTCTACTTACACTTAGGTCACACTACACATACATGTACACATTTATTTATACACACTCATCTGAGTTTTCTTTGATTTTATCTTAATAGTTCTTGGTCTTATTACTTTTCCTTTTATATCCATGGGGAAGTGGAATAAGAATCTTTCCTCCGTAAGCCATGCGTGTTGTAAAAGTCAACTAAAATGCCGGGAACAATGGGCTAGTAATGGGCTAGCGCGACGGGCTGGAGTTTTGAGACTCTATGACCGCGGGTTCAATCCCGGCCGGGGGTATGGCTAGTAACCCCTTTCTTCCTGTAAAGATTACTAAAAAGAATAAGAAGAAAATTGTTTTCTTTCTTTTTTGGGTCACCCTGCCTCGGTGGGAGACGGCCGACTTGTTGAAAAAAAAAAAAAAAAAAAAAAAATTACAGTATATTGAGGATGACTGTTAGTTCCTAGGTTAAAACTGCCAGCTTCCACTTATAAATTCCTGCCACATATAAATATCTTTAGTGAACTAGAAAATGGAGCAGCTTAGTATATATTGGCAAGCTACTTCGGTACTTTTAATCTGTCCTGCCAATATTAATGGTGGCATACAATTTGCCAGTATCAGTAAGTCACATTTCTTACATTTAAGTACTGGGTATGTTAATTAATTGGATACCTCATTGTCATAGTTGTTTGTTTACTCTTAAGTTTTTAATATGTAGCCCTCATTCTAGAGTATTATGCAGAATATTATCAATAATTTTAGGCAGACATGAAAGAATACTGGTACTACATACATTAAGAAAATCGAATTTTTTTGCAGTCAGATTTGTTCTTGTCTGGTTCAAAATGGTGGAGGAACAAAATTTTGCCTTCAGTTTTGTTTTAGACAAAAAATTCCTACACCAGCTATCTGGCACCAAGAGAATGGCCTAAAAAAGTAAATGCATTCCCCATCATATGTAAATGTATAGCTGCTGCTATAAAGTTTCCACTTTCTCTAATCTAACATGCATTTCTGGTTGCTTAAGCCCCCTACCATTCAAAACCTGGGATGACCCCTAACCCCAGGGTAGACATCCCGGACATGTACTGTACACCCTCTTGGTCATCCTATCCTGGTCTATCCTCTAAATGCCCAAGCCATCTCAACACTCTGACCTCGGAATTATACATTTCATGACCCCCCACTATTCTAAATTCTACTATCCAAATTCTCTGTGTAATATTCACACTGCACATTGCTTCCAAACATGACATTTCACTGTTTCCAGATGCTGCCTCCTCACTGCAATGTTCAAAACCCATACCTCACACCCATATAAAAGGGTTAGTTCCACTATACTATAGGCTATTTCCCATGTTGCCTTCATTGATAAACTTCATTTCTTTCTTTCTAACACACTGCTTATATTTTTTTCATTTTCTTTTATGGTTCACCTCATCTTTCATAGACCGTTTGTTGACATGTCCAATCCATTCCCAATTATGTGAATTCATTCTCTTCCTCCACTCTGATATTCAGTCTCTGCTTACCTAGGCTTTTTTATTGCTGTAATCACCTTGTTCTTTTTGTTCATTTTTAATATCACCTTGTTTCTTTTCTATATATTTATTATTATAATCAAGGGGAAGCGCTAAACCCGGAGGATTATACAGCGCCTGGGGGGGGAGTGGAAGGCATTCAGGCTTAATTCGGGGAACTGGAGCACAGATCCAATTCCCTAAATCAAGAGCCCCTCACCAACATCAAGGAACCTTCTTTTCTATATAGAAGTTCACTTTTACATATCCCCCAAAACTCCTATACTATCCTTTGCAACTCCTCTTCAGAATCTTTTAAAGACTTTGAGTCATGAGTAAAGAGCAACTGTAACAACTACTCTGTCAGATTCATTATACTTTAGTCCCAGTACCTGAGCATTCAGTTATTTTACAACTCCATCTTTAAATATATTAAAGAACCATGGTAACATCAGACATCTCTGGCTAAAGTCTACTTTTCCTGAAATATATAGTACCTTTCTGTCTTGCATACTCTAACCTGAGCTTCACTCTCAACATAAAAAGCCTCTTTACCACTTTTACCTATTACATATTCCATAGGTTTGCAATATCTACCACACTGCTCTTCTGTCTACCCTGTCATAGCCTTTTTCCAAATCCACTAGTTCAACAAGCAGTTTGTTGTATCTACATATTGTCTTATAAAAACATTTAGAAATTATAAACAAAGTATGGAGCACGAAGTTCTATATGATAGTTGTGAAGGATGCTCTCATAGGATTTTTTATGTACATGGAAGTAATGTTTTCAATGAAACTGGCTTAGTTATGTTCAAGATAAATAATTGGTTCCAATTAATAGCAAAACTATTTTTAATACTTTCTATATGTGTTGACAGAGTGTGTACCTGGACTGTGTGCGTCTCATGCCAGGGATGCTGAAGGAGATAGTAAATCTTCTAAGTGAGAAGGGAATGAGGGTGAGAATGCCCTTAGAAGAGTTGCAAGTTCTCACTGAAACAGAATTGGAGTTAGTTAACAAGAATGAAGATAATGTTGTAGACAGTGACGAGGAAGAAGACCAGGAAACCAAAGATTAGAAACAGTACACAGACTTATGACTGTCTAGACAATGCTTTAGTTACCTAAATGCCAGGCATTAAAAGGAGATGAATTAAATCAGTGTGTGTTTTCTACCACTTTGTCACGAGTCTTACCCTTCCCACCACCCAAAAAAAAATTTTTTTTTTGCTAATATGACATTTTATCTAGTAATTCATACATCTCCCACCCATTGCTTTTTATATCATTGTTTTGGGAAAATGTTCTTTCTGGCCATACCAAAAAAAAAAAAACAAAGTTCTATAGATAATTGCAGAAATTCATTTTTCATGTTAGATTCTTTTTATAATAAGGTTGTTTTTAATCACAAATATTGTACACTTAACTGCAGAAATGTCACATAAACAGGAAGAATTAATATATGTGCCTTTTGGAATGTGTGTGTTATTTTCCCCTGAAATTATAAACTACACATTCCCCAACACTCCCAAAAGATAACTAATTTTGGTCATACAAGTTAAAGAGCCACAGTACATAATATACAGGTACTCCTTGACTTACAATGGGGTTACGTTCCGACAAACCCATCTTAAGTCTAACATCAATTTATTTTTTTAACACATCAGCCATTTCTCACCAAGGTAAGGTGACCCAAAAAAAAAAGAAAAAACTTTCATCCTCATTCAACACTTTTACCATCATTTATACATGATCACTTATACATAATCACAGTACTCGCTCCCATCTTGTTCCTCATCCTCATATCCGACATAGACAAGGATGTCAGCCACAGCACCGTGTCTTCCTTTGCAGATGACACCCGAATCTGCATGACAGTGTCTTCCATTGCAGACACTGCAAAGCTCCAGGCGGACATCAACCAAATCTTTCAGTGGGCTGCAGAAAACAGTATGAAGTTCAACGATGAGAAATTTCAATTACTCAGGTATGGTAAACATGAGGAAATTAAATCTTCATCAGAGTACAAAACAAATTTTGGCCACAAAATAGAGCGAAACGCCAACGTCAAAGACCTAGGAGTGATCATGTCGGAGGATCTCACCTTCAAGGACCATAACATTGTATCAATCGCATCTGCTAGAAAAATGACAGGATGGATAATGAGAACCTTCAAAACTAGGGAGGCCAAGCCCATGATGGGCACTCTTCGGTCACTTGATCTATCTAGGCTGGGAATATTTGCCAGCCAACTTAACAGCACCTTTCAAGGCAGGTGAAATTGCGGACCTATAAAATGTACAGAGGAAGCTTCACGGCGCGCATCACAAGATTAAAAACACCTCAATTACTGGGAGCGCTTGAGGTTCCTAAAAACTGTATTCCTGGAATGCAGGCGGGAGAGATACATGAAATTTAAAATACACCTGGAAGATCCTAAAGGACCGTACCGAACTTGCAACGAAAATCACTCACTACGAAAGCCAAAAGACTTGGCAGACGATGCAACATCCCCCCCAAAGAAAAGCAGGGTGTCACTAGCACGTTAAGAGACCATACAATAAGTGTCAGGGGCCCGAGACTGTTCAACTGCCTCCCAGCATACATAAGGGGGATTACCAACAGACCCCTGGCAGTCTTCAAGCTGGCACTGGACAAGCACCTAAAGTCGGTTCCTGACCAGCCGGGCTGTGGCTCGTACGTTGGTTTACGTGCAGCCAGCAGTAACAGCCTGGTTGATCAGGCTCTGATCCACCAGGAGGCCTGGTCACAGACCGGGCCGTGGGGGCGTTGACCCCCGGAATTCTCTCCAGGTAAATAATCAAAAGAAGCACTAAACCGCAAGGGTTATACATACATAATCACCGTCTTTGCAGAGGCACTCGGACATGACAGTTTAGATATCAATGTATGTTAAATACAATAAATAACTACTGTCGCTGAATAAGTAAATAAACAACTAATTACTGTAAATATCAGTATTGAAAAGTAAGTAAACGAATACATGAGACAAAGTTGCCGCCTTCATGCTGGGTAATTATCTTGAGTTTCATCTCCAAAGTAATTGCTTTTGCACCACTGTAATATAATCAAACCATCATAAATCAAAGATCAAAAGGTAACATTCTAGATCTATACAAGGAAAATAATAGTTGGCAAAGGGTACTGTTGTTACAATACATTCCTGGGAAAAGTGCTCAACATCCACAAGCTGTAGTGTCTGAAGTGAAAACATTTACTCTGAGGAAGTGGAGTGCAGCACAAATCCCTTGGATCAAGATCATGTCAGCAAAAAGTGAGTGGAAAACTCTCGGAACTTATCAAAGGTATTCCCACTGAAGGAACGGGTGACAGAACCAAGCGATAATGGTACATAACAAGCACAAATGTAAACTCAAGAATTAAGAGCAAAGTTCACTTATATGTAATTCAAACTTGTTGGTTAAAGCAAATAAATTAATTCAAAATTTGATGCAAAAGCTCATGACACCGAAGGGCTCTTGATGCAGGGAATAAAAGCTATCGGTCTCTTCCTTAGTGCAAACTACTTGCCATTCCCTAGTCACTCTACAACCCCTAAGAGCTTAGCACTTTCCATTATTATTATTATTAATATTATAAGAGTATCAGATGAATCATTAAACATAAAAGCTACATATTCACTAAAATGTGTCATATTAAACAAAAAATAGATGCATTTCTGTATAACTGGAACTACCCTCCCTTTCCTTGGATTAAACATGATTACCTCCCATTCCCAGATGCTCTAACTCCTATGAGTTAAGTGCTTCCTAATGAATGTAATGCTTATATAATATCCCCGAAGGAAGATTCCTTCACGCAGGTGAAGGAATCTTGATGCAAGAAATCAGACCTGTTCTGTTCTTCCCTGAATCAAATTTGACTTCCTCCAACCCTCCCAGGTATTACCTGACCCCTACAAGTTTAGTGATTCCCCAATAAAGCAGTCATAGGTACTGCCTGTGCAACCCAGGTGCTGTATGACTACCTACAAATTCAGTACTTTTCCCTAAATGCAATAACAATGTTTTTTTTTTTTTTTTTCAACAAGTCGGCCGTCTCCCACCGAGGCAGGGTGACCCAAAAAAGAAAGAAAATCCCCAAAAAGAAAATACTTTCATCATCATTCAACACTTTCACCACACTCACACATTATCACTGCTTTCTTTTGCAGAGGTGCTCAGAATACAACAGTTTAGAAGCATATACGTATAAAGATACACAATATATCCCTCCAAACTGCCAATATCCCAAACCCCTCCTTTAAAGTGCAGGCATTGTACTTCCCATTTCCAGGACTCAAGTCCGACTATATGAAAATAACCGGTTTCCCTGAATCCCTTCACTAAATATTACCCTGCTCACACTCCAACAGATCGTCAGGTCCCAAGTATCATTCGTCTCCATTCACTCCTATCTAACACGCTCATGCACGCTTGCTGGAAGTCCAAGCCCCTCACCCACAAAACCTCCTTTACCCCTTTCCACCCTTTCGAGGACGACCCCTACCCCTCCTTCCTTCCCCTATAGATTTATATGCTTTCCATGTCATTCTACTTTGATCCATTCTCTCTAAATGACCATACCACCTCAACAACCCCTCTTCTGCCCTCTGACTAATGCTTTTATTAACTCCACACCTTCTCCTAATTTCCACACTCCGAATTTTCTGCATAATATTTACACCACACATTGCCCTTAGACAGGACATCTCCACTGCCTCCAACCGTCTCCTCGCTGCTGCATTTACCACCCAAGCTTCACATCCATATAAGTGTTGGTACTACTATACTTTCATACATTCCCTTCTTTGCCTCCATAGATAACGTTTTTTGACTCCACATATACCTCAACGCACCACTCACCTTTTTTCCCTCATCAATTCTATGATTAACCTCATCCTTCATAAATCCATCCGCCGACACGTCAACTCCCAAGTATCTGAAAACATTCACTTCTTCCATACTCCTCCTCCCCAATTTGATATCCAATTTTTCTTTATCTAAATCATTTGATACCCTCATCACCTTACTCTTTTCTATGTTCACTTTCAACTTTCTACCTTTACACACATTCTCAAACTCATCCACTAACCTTTGCAATTTTTCTTTAGAATCTCCCATAAGCACAGTATCATCAGCAAAAAGTAACTGTGTCAATTCCCATTTTGAATTTGATTCCCCATAATTTAATCCCACCCCTCTCCCGAACACCCGGTGGTCTGGTGGCTTAAAGCTCCCGCTTCACACACGGAGGGCCCGGGTTCGATTCCCGGCGGGTGGAAACATTCGACACGTTTCCTTACACCTGTTGTCCTGTTCACCTAGCAGCAAATAGGTACCTGGGTGTTAGTCGACTGGTGTGGGTCGCATCCTGGGGGACAAGATTAAGGACCCCAATGGAAATAAGTTAGACAGTCCTCGATGACGCACTGACTTTCTTGGGTTATCCTGGGTGGCTAACCCTCCGGGGTTAAAAATCCGAACGAAATCTTATCTTATCTTATCTTAACCCCATCTATAAATATATTAAACAACCATGGTGACATTACACATCCCTGTCTAAGACCTACTTTTACCGGGAAGTATTCTCCCTCTCTTCTACACACCCTAACCTGAGCCTCACTATCCTCATAAAAACTCTTTACAGCATTTAGTAACTTACCACCTATTCCATATACTTGCAACATCTGCCACATTGCTCCTCTATCCGCTCTATCATATGCCTTTTCTAAATCCATAAATGCAATAAAAACTTCCTACCTTTATCTAATACTGTTCACATATATGCTTCAATGTAAATACTTGATCTACACATCCCCTACCCACTCTGAAGCCTCCCTGCTCATCCGCAATCCTACATTCTGTCTTACCTCTAATTCTTTCAATTATAACCCTACCGTATGCTTTTCCTGGTATACTCAGTAAACTTATTCCTCTATAATTTTTACAATCTCTTTTGTCCCCTTTCCCTTTATATAAAGGGACTATACATGCTCTCTGCCAATCCCTAGGTACCTTCCCCTCTTTCATATATTTATTAAACAAAAGTACCAACCACTCCAACACTATATCCCCCCCCTGCTTTTAACATTTCTGTCATGATCCCATCAGTTCCAGCTGCTTTACCCCCTTTCATTCTACGTAATGCCTCACGTACCTCCACCACACTTACATTCTGCTCTTCTTCACTCCTAAAAGATGGTATACCTCCTGGCCAGTGCATGAAATTACCGCCTCCCTTTCTTCCTTAACATTTAAAAGTTCCTCAAAATATTCTCGCCATCTACCTAATAACAATGTACATTTTTTTAATAGACGCACTGGCCGTGTCCCATCGTGGCAAGGCGACCCGAAAAAGAAGAGACGCTTCCATTTTTATATTCAGTAATTTATACAGAAGGGGTTACTAGACCTTTCCTCCTGAAAAAAATATACATACAAAGCATTAAAAAAG